ACTTCAGACTTTTACAAAAAAGCTAATTATGCGTAATATTCTTCACTCTATTAAAATTATCATTGGTACATAACTGAAAAATAATATTAAATAGAAAGTGACTAATTTAAAAATTATTCTGTAACTATGGATTTCTGAATTTTGTTTTGAAGAAAATTAATGATAAATTGATCCCATTAAGTTTTAAATGATGCAAAGAAATAATAGGTTTTAGAAATATATCAACATTTTAACTATATTAAATTTGAATGTATATTTAATTAAGAATTATTATATAAGATGAAAGTTGTTCAAAATAAGCAATTCTGTATTCTGCAACTGAAACTTAATTTGTATTTCGATGTAATGAACTATTAATAGTGAATGATTTCTTAATTATTTCCCTATAAGCCATACAGTTTTTATGTTTGAACAAAATGTCTAGTGCAACATTCTTCTAAACCCAAATTCTTAACAACCTTTAAACAGGTAAGTCTTGGGAAGGACCAAAATTTTCTGGGCAATTATTTTAACATAGATACAAAAAAATAAATATTAGTCAAAGAACCAAACAATGCTTGACAAAGTAGTAGACAAGAAAACAAAGGTCTCCGGGAAGCTGACAGTTTAGTAAGAGGAGATAAATGGATTAAATATTTATTTTATGGGAATCAGGATAAAGAGAAGGGGCACACAGGATGTGAACAAGCTACGGGGAGTTCATGGAGCAGACTTGGCCTTGAAGGATGGCAGGATTTGTCTATGTAGAAAAAGTGATGGCAATATTAAGGACTGAAAAAATGGTTATAGAGGCAATAAAAAAAAAAGGCTGTGCTGGAGGATGATAGGGAAGTAACTTCCTCAGAGCATTAGTTCAGGCTGAGGGAGGGTGGGAAATAATGAACACAGTCAAGACAGAGATCTATTAATTTAAAAGAAAAAACCACAAAGGTATCTGGAACTGCCAGTAAATCAACATGTGAAGGGGGCAGGTGAGGCTTTCTACCAGTGTGTTTCTTTCCTGCATTACATACTCGTATTTGTACTGATCCCTCACTAGGCAATGAAGAGAATGATCACCCGCTCACCACCGCTGACACCCCTCAGCTAGCACAAAGCACAGCCAGAAGGGCTCAACATCATTAGCTAAAAGATAGGGAGAGTCAATGTAAAGATGACAAATATTATTCTGTTGCCATATATTAAAGCTACTGTATATATTATATCCCAACTCTGAAAAGTCACTATTAGCATAATCTCCTTCCTGGCTAGAAAGGAAACACATGAAGGCAAGTTAGGAAATAGGGAAAGGTGGGTACTATGGATTTGGATCACTTGAGTGTGTCTATCAAGGGTTCATGAGCTAGAAGCTTAGTCTGCAGGGAGCTGGTGTTGAGGTTGGGGTGTAGAATCTTCTAAGATGATTAAGTCTAGCATGGGAATCCAGTTGGGCTGTCCACCCTCAGAAGGAGTTGATGCAGTTCCCTGTAGGATCTTTTCAACCTACAAGACCCAACAAGTCAGTTTTCCCATACCCTGCTTTTTACCAAAGAAAAGTAAGCCTGGCCCGAGTCCCTTCCCTTTCCTGTCTTACATTTTCTCTTTCCCTTCTGCACGTAGCATAGTCCCTTTTCATTTCCCCACCATATTATGACACAGCTTAGAGACTATTTCAAGGCCATCAGCACTATGCTGTTGGGATCTGCCAACCACTAAAAATCATGAATCAAATAAACTTATAATTATCCAGCCTTGAGTATTTTCTTGTAGCACCATAAAACACTCTAAGATAAACAGGGACAATAGGAGGCCAATGAAAGCAGTAATACCCTAACTTTTCATAATAGAGAGTCAACCATAGTGTCTTAACTGTGAAACAGGATGCTTAGAACTCTTAAAGTGTTTTCCACAATCTTTTTTTTTTAATTAGCCTTAGAGGAATTTCTGGGAAAATATCTCCTGAAGTGAAAAAAACAGTTATTTGAAATTCAGCAATTCCTTCAGTATCACTAGGGTTTCTTTCCTCTTCTATGGAATTCAGTTAGAATTCAAAGTGACAACTACATTATAATTCCATTTTTATAAGTGTACTAATTTCTAGAAATCCATCCTTCTGTTTATGTTTACATAAAAAAAGAGCTACGCTGATTTTGTTCAATGTTAATAATGATAATCTTAGGAATTAGGAAGAATTTCACTTAATTTACTGTATTTAAATTCCTACATTGGCTAATTTCTTTATAATAAAGATAAATTGCTATTTGAAAAAAAAACAAAGAAAAGGTTTAGATGACTTGGGAATTAAGCAACTGCAGGGAATAATGGCCACTTAATGAGAAAGAAACAAAGATATATTTTGTTTTTGTGGGGGAGATCCAAGTGTTGGATTTTAAACATGATAAGTTTGTGATGTCTGAGATATATGTAAATTCTGATCTCAAAAGGCCAAAGGTAAAAAGGACTAGAAGCAAAATATTCAGAAATAAAAAGTGGGCCTGAGCTTAGGTCCAAGTCTCGAGTATTCCAAAATTCAGAGGTTCTCTAGAGAATAAGGAGAAATTGCAGTCAGGTATGGTGGGTGGTATCGCTGAAGCAAAGAGAAGTCAATTTTTTATACAGAAATAAACAATGCACTATATCAACTGCTACTAAGAATTATAGCAAGATGAGAATAAAAAAAGAAGGATGCATTAGAGTCATTAACAGACCAGTTTAAAAGTGTCATTCAGATGACCTGAATGAACAATTCATAATTACAAAGACTTATCAAATCAAGTCAATTCAAAGAGAGCCAAGAAGAAACAAAGAGAGCAGGAGGACAATTTATATAGCCATGATTCTTATGCTGAGAGGCATAAGAATGGAACAACAGTGCAAAGACGTGAGAATGGGAAATGAAGGGTAGTTTCTTTGTATGGGTGCTTTGTTCTGTTTCATTTTAAGGTAGGGAAGATGAAGAGATGTCTTTGCACTGATAGGAACGATCCTTCTTCATAAAAGGAGAGGATGGCAGAAGAAAAATGGGGTTAGGGGACTAATCAAAGAATCAATCTTCTTGAATATTAGTCAATCACAACACAAGCTTGGTAGGGATAATTTAGCAAATAAATATTCAGAATTTTAAACAGAATGCGATGGTGGAAAGTAAAAATCCGTATTTTTTTAATGTCTCACATTAGTCTCTTCTAAATGTTGTAGTATACAAGTTATATCAACAACAATAACAAAAATCATAAAGCATGTAGCTAAAAATAAATACACAAAGTACTGCTTGCTAATACTATTACTGCTATTATTTTATATGTGTTCTGTGTGCTAGATATTGTTTTAAGCTCTTTGAATTAGTTATATGTAATTCCATAAGAAGTACAATTACAAGAGAAAAATAATTTAAGTATCTTCCATTTTAGAGATGAGTGGCTATGACACCCCCTCAGACAACTAGTAACCATCAGACAGTTTAATCTAAGGTAGTCTAGTGCTAAACATATGTGCATCATTATATAGATCAACAAAGGGATGATGTGAAGTTTCCTAAGGCAAGACAGATGAGTCCATCTTGATATCATGAGCAAGCACACACAAGGAAAACTAATAATCCCCAGGAGCTATCATATTTTTATTGCTATTATATAGAACAATAAATCTATTATTGTCTTCTTCCAAAAGAGCACTAGAAAAAAACATTACAAAAGAGGAAAAAAACATTAAAAGAAATTCACTCACTATAAATAAGAACAATCGCAAACACATATACTCTGTGACTACAGAACTTAGAAACAAACTTTCTATGCAAAAGAGGACTTTACTGAATGGGGTTCTCCCCCACCTCCCTGGCATATACTACCTACTATATCATGTTATATGATGTACTTGGCACCATAAAGTCAAAATTGAAATTTAACGTGAAAACACTTCTTGAAATAAAGAGCACACCATCCAAAATGTTGTAATAGCTGCAGCTAGTTTTTACATTCATTGAACTAGAAGATTCAAAACAAAAGTACAGCTACTAATGAACAGTAAAAAAAAAAAAAAAAAAGATTATATACAATAAGATATAAGCCAGGCGCCAGTGGCTCATTCCTGTAATCCTAGCTTCTCAGGAGGCTGAGATCTGGGGATCGTGGTTCAAAGCCAGTCCAGGCAAGAAAATCCATAAGACTCTTATCTCCAATTAACGACCAGAAAACTGGAAGTGGCACGGTGGCTCAAGCACTGAAAGGCCCAAGAACAGCACCCAGCCCAGAGTTCAAGACCCATGACCGACGAGAGAAAAAAAAAAAGATATAGACCTATATGTTACTATCAGAAAATTCTAATCTTAGAAAAGTAATTGCTTTATTTCTTAGTAATACATTATCATTAACCCTCAGTCCTGAAAAAAAAAACATGAATCTATGAAAATGGAAAATGTCCTTAATTCAGCTGCTTTTAAAGGTAGTAAGTAGTAGGATGGAAAGCTAGTTATTTATCTCCATTTGACCAAAAGATTCAGAATTCTCTAACTCTCTGCAGACCTACAAACTCTGCTTTATTTCCTATTTGAACATGCTAAATAAACTTATGAACTCAATCAAAAAGATTTAAACCTCAGGAAAAGGAAAACTGAAGAGTAGTGATCAATACCGAGGAGGAAAATTTGGGGCCTCGAAATAATTCATCCATGTCTAAGCCTCTTCCAAAGCTTTATTATGGGAAGAGTCTAATCAATTACCAACACAAGGAAACCCCAGGTGATTTCTAAGTAAACTTAGAGAAATAATCCCTAACATACCTCTATTAAATCAAGCAGTAGAAGATACCAGTAAGAGAGAACCTGAATTCAGAATCTAAATTAGGTATATCATAATCTAATTTCTGTATTTTGCTTTGTCTATAATGTTATAGACAACATATTTTAAAATATGCATTTAAAGAACAGTATAAGTACTTTTTAAAAGTAAATAGAATAAATGCTTATTTTTATGCCACATATAAAGTATAACTTAGTTAAACTAAAATAAAATTTAGTCCCTTACCTCAGACCAAAGATGTGTGATTGTTCATAGTTGAATAAAGAACGAATCTTAGCTTCAGAATTCAAAATGATAAGCCTATCAATTATATCCTGAAAAATAAAGACATTCTCTTGACTGAAACTATTCAAAGAAAATTAAATGAGCAAACATTCATTTAGATCTTTGGTGATCTGATTTAGCTTTACATTGGAATTACTTGGAAACTATATGAAAATAAAATAACAAATCAATGCAGATGCCTGAGTTTTATGCCCTGATCTTCTTAATTAACTGCTTTGGGTAGGGCCCAAGCATCAGAATTTGTAAAATTTCCTGACTGAATCAAATGCTCAAGAATCATGTAAAGAACCAGGAATTTATACCACTTTTTTTTTTTTGGGGGGGGGGGGTCCGGTCGTGGGACCTGAACTCTGGGCCTGGGCGCTTGTCCCTCAGCTCTTCAGCTCAAGGCTAGTGCTCTACAACTTGAGCCACAGCACTACTTCCGGCTTTTTTTTCCTGCTTATGTGGTGCTGAGGAATTGAACCCAGGGCCTCATGCATGCAAGGCAAGCACTCTACCACTGAGCCAGCCACCTTCCCAGCCCTATACCACTTTTTAGAACTAGTAAACAGATCATATAGTTGAATAAAGATAAAACTACCAAAAAAAAAACCAGTAAATTACTTTGAAAAAAAATATGAAATGTACAAAGGTAAAGCACTAACAATGGGTCTGAAAGCTTTTTTTTTTTTGTCAGTCGTGGGGCTTGAACTTAGGGCCTGGGTACTGTCCCTCAGCTCTTCAGTTCAAGGCTAGTAGTGCTCTACCACTTGAACCACAGCACCACTTCCAGGTATGAAACCTTTTATCCAGTAACTATTTAAGTTTATTTAGTAACTATTTTCTTTCTTTTTTTTTTTTTTTTTTGGGTCCGGTCATCGGGCCTGAACTCTGGGCCTGGGCGCTGTCCCTCAGCTCTTCAGCTCAAGGCTAGCGCTCTACCACTTGAGCCACAGCACCACTTCCAGCTTTTTTCTTTTTGCTTATGTGGTGCTAAGGAATCGAACCCAGGGCCTCATGCATGCAAGGCAAGCACTCTACCACTGAGCCACCTTCCCAGCTTAGTAACTATTTTCTACTAGCTCATGTAAATCATTGGTCTAGAGTAACAGAGGAAACAGAGATGAATGAATGGATAGACAGATGAGTGATAGATAAGTAGACAGAAGAGAGAGAATGAGAGAGAGAGAGAGAGTGAGAGAGAGAGAGATTAATAGATAGAAGAGAGAGAGTGTGTGAGAGAGAGAGAGATTAGATAAATAGACTAGATAAGATAATGGATGATCAGCCTCTACTTAAGACTGGTTAAAGACACTAGTATGCCTTAGATGAAGATTTTAGAGTTAATACTCTTAAAAGTTCTCGCAAATGTTCCATTGTATTATCAGGATTAAAGCCAGTAAAGAGAGTATCTAAAGACCAGCTATGCCAAGTACTGACAATCTTAGCCTACCACACATGGGTGAATATTCTCTAGAAGGTTTTCTGTACTATCCTGCTTTTGTGTACATATCTGGGAATTGGTTTAAGAAATGTATTCATAAACAAATAACTTTCCTCTCTCGTTGCTGAATTTCTTGACCAGGAAACTTAGTTCTTCCAGTGAGTTTCAGTTCACAATATTTCTGTGACTCATAGGGCAAAGAAAGGTTTTACTAGACAGTAAAATCATGTAAAATTTACTGAGACCTTTGAGAATGATGACACCACATAAATAAGAGCCAAGGAAATGAAGTATATGAAGAAGAAATAAGGCGTAACTCAAAATCACTATTCAAGCCATTGCAATCCTGGCTTTGGAGTAAACTCAACTTAATAACAATTAATACTTAACACTTAAGAATTCAAGATATCTGTTCTACAGGTATCTTTTAGGAATGTGTTAACAATTAGCATAAGAATTTATTAGCATAAGTACATTAATGAGCTAACTATGAGAAACAAAAAGAATTGTTTTTCAAAGATCTATCATTGTGTTCTGCTTCCCAGTTGGCTGCTCCTTTTTTAAACTTTAAGATAAAAACTGAGGTATATAACTCATTTCATATTTCTAGTTTCTTAGTCCCTCCCACTCTCTTCTCTGTCTTCTCTGATTCCTTTCTCTTCCTCTCCTCACTAAGCCACAGAAATGGAGCCATTAAGCTCTTCTTAACTTGTCCAGATACCTGGGTACTATTACACTGGTAGGTTTTGCAGGAGACATGGTAAAAATTATTTACTGTGTAATTCTTCCAGGAGGTTGATATTTTTACTGATTAGTAATTACTGCATTTTCAATGATATGATCAATTGCTACTACTTTTGCCAAAGTCAAACATCATAGAACAAGCTAGATTTATATAACACTAACCTTCTCTATGTGAGCCAAGAGTAATGAAAGTCAGTTCCATACATAGCAGTTTGTGAAATGATTACTACAGACTTTTTTTTTCTTTAGAGAGGTATTAGTATAGGTAAATAAAATTAGCCCAGCGATCTGAATACAAAGCTAAGATTACCTGATGCTGGGGATACTTGGTAACATTAAAGTTCTGTTTCTGATTCTAAGAACTAGATATAGAAGAATAAAAATGATTGAAAGAGAAGGTCTGTGTGCCCAACAAGCTAATGGAAGAGTAGATTGCAGCAATCCATCAGTGATAATGCATTTCCAGAGAACAAATGTTACAGTAAATAATTCCTTCTTCAAAGAGGATTACTTTGATATATGACCACTTAGGGAAAAAAACCGAAGCTCCTGGGAAAACTGCCGTACGGACAGCTTGTTTCTAAGTACCATCTCATGTGTCAGAAGGGAACAGACTTCCTAAGTCAAGAAGCAGCAACTCAGCAATAAGCTAATGAAAGCAAGGCTGGAGTCTCCTTCCTTTAAAGCAGTAGTCAGAAAATCTATGTCTTTTACAAAGATACTGGCCAGCTTGAGAGAACGTACTCAATTATCTAGTGGGACATGCCAAAACCAAGGCTAAGTAGATAAAGAGAAATTTGACATGAAATAAATATGCACGTGAGTCCTTGCGCCATTCACTATTCTCCCTATCACCATGCTGGTACCATCTGACTTTTCAGAAAACAAGCAAGTGTGAATTTTGAGGAATAGATCAGTTACAAGGCTTTAAGTTTCCTGTACCCAAAAAATGGACATTCATATCTTTTTCCTCAAAACCTATAAATACCACACCCTTTAGGGAAATAATCTTTGGAGAGGTAAATTAAGTTGAAAAACTGAGTGATTTTTTTTAAGTTTTTTGGTTCTGTTTTCATTGGGGGTACTGGTATTTGAGCTTAGTATCCATGATTGCTCTGCTTGTTTGTTCATCTGGTGATTTACCACTTGAGACACACCTACACAGCTTAGCTTTTAGGTCTGGAGACTTGAGGACTTTCTGCCCAGGTTGGCTTCTAACCTAGATCCTCCTAATTTAAGTTTCCTTAGTAGCTAGGATTACAGGAATAAGCCAATGGTGCTAAGCTAAATTAAAAATCTTGATATAAGATCATGCCATATTATCTGGATGTGCCTATAAGACAATGAAGAGATTTAAGACAAAGAAGTTGTGATAGTTATGTGAAGACAAAGGCAAAAATTGGAGTTAGTCATCAGTAAGTCATGAAATGCCTAGGGAATAGAGACACAGAAGATGAGGAAGCAAGGAAAGATTCTTCCCTGGTTCCTCAAGGAAATGTTTAGCTCTGATACACTTTTGACTCTTGCCCATGAGCTCCAAAAGTTTCTCCCACTTTATTTTTGTGTGCGATAATAACATTTAGCATATACATATACACACATATATATACCTTTTTAAGAAAGTTAAAATTTATCGTACAATATTGCTCATTACAAGCACTGAGTTATAGAATTGATCTTTAGGACCAATTTATATGGTATGACCAAAACTTTGTCAATTTCTCCACTATCTACTTATTTGCCCCTCTTCCCCTGCCCCAGCCCTGGCATCCAATAATCTACTCTTTGCTTTAATAAGTATGATTATTTTAGATTCAACATAGAGGTGGTTGGGGCTGGGAAGGTAGCTCAGTGGTAGAGCGCTTGCCTTGCATGCATGAGGCCCTGGGTTCAATTCCAGAGTTCAGGCCCCATGACCGGACCCAAAAAAATAATAATAATAACATAGAGGTGGTATTATATAGTACCTGACCTTCTCTATCTGCTTTATTACACAAAGCACAATGCCCTCATTTAGCAAAAAAGAAAAGTAAGGTCTAATGTGGTGAAGTTCACATAACTAGTTAAATAATAGAGTCAGAGGATTAACTATAAAACAGATAAGAAAGACAAAATAAAATACAAGTGGAAAAAGCTTAGGAATATGAGAGAATCTAGATTAAAAGTTTAATGATAGAAGTACCTGCCAGTCAGAGTCAATGTACATTATGTAAAAATCAAACTATATAACTTGAGGGTAGGGATGGAATGGGAAAGATGGTGAGAGAATGATGGAAGGGGACACTGATCGAAATACATTGTAATAACCTAATTTCTAGAATTGAAAACGCTTTGTCCAACTACTTATTAAAAATAAATATTTTTTAAAAAACATGATGATAGGGGCTGGGAAGGTGGCTCAGTGGTAGAGTGCTTGCCTTGCATGCCTGAGGCCCTGGAGAGGCTGGGAAGGTGGCTCAGTGGTAGAGTGCTTGCCTTGCATGCCTGAGGCCCTGGGTTTGATTCCTTAGTACCACATAAGCAAAAAGAAAAAAGCCGGAAGTGGCGCTGTGGCTCAAGTGGTAGAGCGCTAGCCTTGAGCTGAAGAGCTGAGGGACAGCGCCCAGGCCCAGAGTTCAGGCCCCACGACCAGACCAAAAAAAAAAAAAAAAACATGATGATTTCACTTGGCATAACTTATCAAAAGTTTACCACAGGAAAAAGGTGATTTTTTTTAATATGTATATTCAGAGTTAACAAAAGTTAAGCATGTAAAAGGGCAAAAGTGTTCATATAAATAGTAAGCACTGAACAAAAAGTCTAGGAAAAAGTAACAAATACTAATGGAATTTCAGTATCAAAAATTGTTCTTTAATATTCATATATTTACACATGTATGTTTAATTTATATTTAATTTTCATTTAATTCATAAGCTTAAAAGAAAAGGAACTAAAAATCACTTAATGGTTCAATTAAATTAATCATCTGGATAACTTCGTGAGTATGTAAGTCTCAAATTAAATAAATATGCACATACTGACCTCATGGAGCAATAACATAGTAAAATTTAGAAAAAAATGTACTCTTTGAATATAATTTCCTAATTATATCCATATAATTCATTATCCAATGAAACAGTAACATTGCTATCACTAATCACATAATGAGTCATGTACAATTCCTTTATATACTTAAAATCATTCCAAGTCATTTTCTTGGTTGGTGAGAGTTCAGTCTTGTATTCTGATAGATTTGGGGACTATTATATGGCTAGTACCAGTCTCCATTGATAATTCAAAAGAGGGTAATTCATAGGTCAAAAGACAATTTGGCCTTTAGGTGGCAATAAAAGTATTTTTTGTTATTTTTAAATTACATATTTACTACCCATCTCAAATAGTAGACATTTATAAAAAGGAAAATTTGAAAGAAAGTTACTTACAATAATACATGTTGGAACTTCACGAAGGGAATATTCTGCTTTGTTAGGAAGATCTTGATGGCCTACAAGCTCATAAACAGCAGGATAGGACAGCAAGTTCACGAGTGCTAGAAAGGACTGGGGCAGAGGACAGTCACTTCATAATTCCTTCTTTATCAATAATCACAAAACATCATTAATGTAAAATTTTATAGCTGTATTACTATGAGGCCTAATCTTTTTAAAAAATCTGGTTAATTTTGGAAAACAGTATGGAGGTTCCTCAAAAGACTCCACATAGAGCTCCCCTATGATCCAGCAATCCCACTTTTGGGCATTTACCCAAATGATCACAAACAAGACCACACTGAAGCTACCAGCACAACTATGTTTATTGCAGCATTATTTATCATAGCTAAGATATGGAACCAACCCTCAGTAGAAAAATGGATCAAGAAAATGTGGTATATATACACAATAGAATGCTATGCCTCCATCAGAAAGAATGGCATTGCCCATTTGTTAGGAAATGGAAAGACCTGGAAAAAATTATATTAAGTGAAGTAAGCCAGGCCTAAAGAAACATAGGTCCCATGGTATCCTTTATTTGCAATAACTAGGATAGGTCTCAGACAAGCAGAAAAGGTCAGATAAGTGGATGTTAGTCAAAATGAACCCCAAGATAAGGACTCAAGTGTTTTTTCTTTCTTTCTAGTGTTTCTAACATATTTATAAGGTGATTTTTTTGTTCTTTTGTATGTCCCTCCCCCATGGTATAACCCCTGCTTTCACTGTATTTGATGTTGGTATAATTTGTGGAGGGGAAGGGCAAAAACAAATTGTTTAAATAGGGATACAGGTGGACCCATTGCAACAATGAAATGTACAAGATGCTATGTCGAAAATTGAACTTTACAACTTTGGCCGGAGTTGGGGGGTGGTGTCGAGGGCAGGGGGTGGCATAGAAGGGCAGGAATGGTAAGAGGAAACAGAGGAGGAGGCCACAACACTTGATAAGAAATGTACTCATTGCCTTGCTCATATAATTGTAACCCTTCTGTACAGTATTTTCACAATAAAAACACTTATTAATAAAATTTAAAAATAAATAAATAAAATCTACCCCAATTTGAAATATTGTATATGACAGATATAAAATAGTATGTAAGGGGAGCAGGAAAGGTGGCTCAGTGGTAGAGCGCTTGCCTTGCATGACTGAGGCCCTGGGTTCAATTCCTCAGCACTACATAAACAAGAAAAAAGCTGGAAGTGGTGCTGTGGCTCAAAGTGGTAGAGCGCTAGCCTTGAGCTGAAATGCTGAGGGACAGCGCCCAGGCCCAGAGTTCAGGCTCCACGACCGGACCCCCCAAAAAAAATAGTATGTAAGGGCTGGGAAGGTGGCTCAGTGGTAGAGCGCTTGCCTTGCATCCATGAGCCCCTGGGTTCGATTCCTCAGCACCACATATGCAAAAAGAAAAAAGCCAGAAGGGGTACTGTGGCTCAAGTGGTAGAGCGTTAGCCTTGAGCTGAAGAGCTGAGGTACAGCGCCCAGGCCCAGAGTTCAGGCCCCATGACTGGACCCAAAAAAAAAAAAAAATAGTATGTAAAATGTGTAAAACACAAACAATAATCTACAAACTGACAAGACAAGAAATATCAAATATACTAGAACCTACGTAAGAATAGGAAAACACTTTAAAATGGTCTATATCTCTCTAAAAGAAAAAAAGGAACCAAACTGTCATCGTTACTTTTTGTAATTTCACATCTGATATATTAAAAAAAAAAAAATAAGAGAATACTATTTCAGGACTCTAAAGTAAGATAATAAAGAGATAATAAATACTATATTCTTGCTGCCAGGCTTTAAGATTATCTTTTTTTAATTTAATATATTCACAGAAATACTACTAACATAGATATTGTAATTAATTTTTTAAGTCACGGCTTTTTCCTTTCAACACTGGCTCATTTTCTTACCAGGTTAATCTCTGCATGGAATTCTTAAGATTCCCTGCTCCAATTTTATCTGACTAAAAGCAACATCATTTTCTCAGGTGTACTTCATTCTATGACTTGCCAGTTCAAATACATGCAGTGATTATCCATCACTGAACACCAAGTGTAAATGCCTTAGAGCCTGACTTTCAGGAACTTTTACTCGTTCAGATCCCCCTACTCTCACATCTCATATGCATCCCTTTCTACCTTTCCCCAGCATGGAGTCTAGTTAATCAAACCTGCCTGGGGGAAGCTGTCACTATACAAACTTTTCTTATCCTACTAACATTCTCCTCTACCCTTGCCTTACTAAGTTTTTGGATTGTCAGTCTCTCTTTTTTGAAACGATTCCAATTAAGTCTACTTCTAGAAGCCCTGAATTCTGAAAAGGAATGTGTGTCTTTATCTTATATAATATTCATTATATTTACTTGCCACTATTAAGGGTTTTTAAAAACGTATTTTCACTAGAATCCAAAGTTTGGGAGTCAGACCAACTGAGAATTGAGATTCCATTTCCAACTAACTAGAAAGAAGGAGTAGTGAGGTGTGTGATGAGAGGCAGGGCATTTCATGACCAAGAAAGCCAACTAGTAGTTAAAGACCCCAGATTCTAGGCCTAGTATGAGCGGGGGGGGGGGGGGGGGGGGGGGGGGGGGGGGGGGGGGGAGGAAGGGGAATCAAAATTTTTAAAGAAGGTGAGAGTCATAAAGTACTTAGAAAAATCTGAACATAGTTAAAGTCAGCATGAACTCCATGTGCATAAAGTCATTTCTGGGAGACACATTTCAATTTATGTATTATTTATCAAATCAAGTAACTTCTTACCTTTTGACAGCTTCGGTCAATAGGATCTACTGGAATAGACCTGGGATGGATTACTCTAACATCATCTCTTCCACATTCAAGATTGGACCATAATTCAGCTATAAGTGCATTAATAAACCCTAGGAAAAATTTTATTTCATGTCATATTTATGATATCATATTTCTTTGGATTACTGTAATCTCTGTGAAAAGACTGGTCTGCTGTTATAAAAGGTATACACCTGCATCTCTTACATGGAATAACTCTTGATAGAAATGACCGGCACCCTTATATATCTTTATGATAGTTCCTTACCATAAAACTCTAAGGAATAAATTCCAGGAAACCATTTTACAGGGAGGCTGCTGAATTTTGAGGTCTGGATTTTTACCATTTGGCTAGTAACTTCTCTTTTCAGGTCTTCTAAAGAATATTAAGAATTGAACGTTGCTTTTGCAAATGGGCCAACAATGTAAGACAGTCTAAAAGGTTTAGGGATTAGAGACAGAGAAATGAAGGTACCAGAAGGCAAGGAAGACATCTAAAGAAATGTATCTCCTTACTTAGACATACGTGCTTTTGTAATTCTATAGGCTTAAAACAATTCTGAATTTCATACTTTTGTTTTAATACAGTCTTGAAATTGTTGTGGCAAATACCTAATAGCTAAATGAAAATTAATATTTAACCTGACTATGAAATCATTACATCTGTGAAAACTCCAGCCATACACAAAAATGTAAAACATCTAATCATAAAATAAATACACTTATAATAACATTAGACAAATAAGAGTCACAAAAAAGTACAGGCTCTAAGAATAAGAATGACAGAGTTCACAGTCTGAATCTGCTAGTTTATTATATACATCCTTTACCATTTCGTGAAAAGTATGATAACATAAGGCTCAGAAGCTATTTGACCATGATTAAGGTTTGAAATTAATTCTAGTCTTCAAATGCTTCTATTATAGTGCTAAGGTATACAACATTATATGGATTTTACTCTAAATACAAGAAAGAGTAATGGTTTTATTTATGACAATTATTAGCCCCCAAAATCATGTTTTATTAAAGTAATACAAATTACTTCAGAAAAAAAGGTTACCACATAGCAAAATATTTTTATTAAAAAGAGACTAAATAATGATCATGAATGCTATGATTCATCAACTATCTAAGCTTTGAAATTATAACCAGAGATTCCCTACTAGAACTTTATCTTATTCAGAAATCTTAACATGGCATACTTAACTCCCAGTGCTTTAATTTCCTACAAGTTCAGTGATATTGGAGAATACACACTGACAGAAAACTTCAAAGATAGTAATCAAAGCTATATGAAGAAAAATGCTTTAAAGAAGAGAAGATTCTTTAAGCATCAAGAATTTCCATTTAGTGCAGTAGATACCAATGTTCAGGAAGAGAAAGAGAGAGAGAGAGAGAGAGAGAGAGAGAGAGAGAGAGAGAGAAGAGGAGGAGAAGGAAACAAGGATGTGTACATTTCAAAGAAAAACTAATTTCCAGTGAAATTTCATGGAAGAGAAAAGCTAACGAGGAAATTCTGTAACTGCCTATAAACCTAACTTGGGAAAAAATATTTGAATCAAATATCATGCTCATGATCACATGCTTAAATTGTCGGTTGGATTGATCATTTTGTGAAACAATTATCATTTTAAATAACAGAAAAAAAGTTACCTGAATTTTGTAGAGCTGCTGCACCTGCTGCTGTTGATGCTACTTGTGAAACCAGCACTCCATAGCCAAACTTCTTTTGCCTGTTTATCTAATAACAGAAAGATAGCAATGAGAAGCATAAAATAAAACAATAAAATACAATTTAAAAATTAAAACCTGCATGGTAGCATTTTAGGAAATGTTATATAGCCATTCCAGCTTTAAGATTAGACTAGTAGACATATCTTCATAAAACAAGTTACTTCTCCTGGACTACCTTTCTTCATACATAAAAAAATGACTTATTAGAAATAATACTGAAGAGAGTGAAACTTTTAACTATAAATTTTATTATCCTACTAGTATTTTTATATTGGTATTAGTATATTTTATGTTTACATTTCATTAATAAATTTCTTTATTAGTAACTCTCTATTGGCTGGCTGTTTTCAAATAGGCTTTGAGGCGGTCAGACCATTTTTTTAATGATGATATCTTCTTCTTACAGTGACAATAATTTTTTAAGGGAAGGTTATTTTTGTTGCTAAGAAAGGAAACTAAAACTAAGTCTAATTATTAATGTATTAGCATGCAAAAAAAATATTAAAAATTTTCTTAAATAACTTTCTATCCAAGAAGAATATCCTATTTGTATTAAGGGTAGAGTACATAGATGAGTGTAACTCACAGGATAAATGAGAACAAGGAAATGAAATTATATTATAACATGTTCCTTTATCAGACTTTGGATTAAACCATGATGGCTTAATAAATGTTTGGCTTCTAACCATTCAGAATTTATAATTTTAAACCTTTCATTTAAAAAGTTGTTTTAATTTTTTTCTTTTAAAATATAAACCATACATTCAATTCTAAGTGCAAAAGTACAATTACAAAGAAATTAAAAGACCATGAAAAAATTAGTCTGGGGGGGGGGGGGGGGAGTGTAGTCATGAAGAAGGGAGGGCAGGGATGGTAGGAGAAAACCAAAGGAGGAGGGAACTGCTTGATAAGAAATGTACTCATTACCTTGCTCATGTAATTGTAACCCCTCTGTACAGTATTTTCACAATAAAACAAACTTACTTAAAAAATTAGTCTATTTCTCCAATTTTCAGTTGCTTATATCTTTACAAATTTTCCTTCCTTTTCTTTAGTTTTTATTTTAAATACAATTTTATTGTAAAGGTAGTGTACAGAGAGGTTACAGTTACATGAGGAAGGTAGTGAGTCTATTTCCTATCGAGCATTGTTACCCCCTCCTTTGTTTTTCCCCTACCATCCCTTTCCTCCCCACCTCCCCGACTCCCCCCCCCAAAGTTGTAAAGTTTGTTTTCAACATAGTGTCTTGTACATCTCATGTTACAATGGGTCAACCTATATCCTTATTTCAGCATTTTGTTATTCTCCTTCCCCTCCCCAAATTAGAAAAATGTATATACAAGATGTAGGACACCGGAATCAAATACAGTGACAACAGGGGTTGTACCATGGGGGGAGAACGTACAAAGAAAAGGTCAGATAAGTCGATGTTAGGTGAAATGAATTTATAAGGTGATTTTTTTTCTTGCTTTGTATGTCCCTCCCCCACAGTATAACCCCTTCTTTCACTGTATTTAATGTTGGTAAAATTTGTGCGGGAGAAGGGAAAAAACAAATCATTTAAATAGGGATACAGGTGGACCCACTGCAACAATGAGATGTACAAGTCGTTATGTCAAAAAACAAACTTTACAACTTTGGCAGGGGGAGGTGAGGTAGGGGGAAGAATGGGAAGGGTTGGGAAGGGGAAACAAAGGTCTGGGGCAGGGGGAAGTGTAGTTGTGAAGAAAGGAGGACAGCGATGGTAGGAGAAAACCAAAGGAGGAGGCAACTGCTTGATAAGAAAAAGAACAACAAGAAAGATAAAATCTCTTGTGTCCCTATCTTGGGGTTCATTTTGCTTATGATCAGCTTATATAGTCATATGTATATAGCTTTTGACCTATTCTGCTTGTCCTAGAAATAAATAAGCTAGTTATTGCAGATAAGGGAAACCATGGGACCTATGTTTCTTTGTGTCTGGCTTACTTCACTTAATATACTTTTTTCCAAGTCTTTCCATTTCCTAACAAATGGGGAGGTGTAATTCTTTCTGATGAAGGCACAGAATTCCATTGTGTGTGTATGTATGTAGGTATGTATGTATGTATGTATGTATGTATATGTGTGTGTATATATATATATGTATATGTATATACCGCATTTTCTTGATCCATTCATCTACTTAGGGGCATCTGGGTTGGTTCCATATCTTAGCTATGGTGAATAATGCTGCAATAAACATAGTTGTGCTGGCAGCTTTAGTATGGCCTTGTTTGTGATGGTTTGGGTAAATACCTAAAAGTGGGATTGCTGGGTCAGAGGGGAGCAGTATGTGGAATCTTTTGAGGAACCTCCACACTGCTTTCCAAAGTGGTTGAACAAGTTTACATTCCCACTAACAATTCAGTAGGGTTCCCTTTGTGGCCACATCCCCACCAGCATCTGTTGTTTTCTTTTAATTTTTTTGTTGTTGATTTCTGTTGGTAGTAGCAATCCAGGGGTTTGAAGTCAGGACCTCATGCTTGTTACGCAGAAACTCTACCATTTGAGCCATATCCCCCACAATCTCTTGCTTTGATTTTTCAGGTATAGTGCTGCGTGTTTTCTCTGACTACATTTATCCTACTACATTATCCAGCATAGCTAACACCACAGTAACATGGAACTAACTCTATTGGTGGTGATGGGGGTATCTCACTATGTTTTTGCTTAGAGCTGGTCTCAAATTGTGAGTCACTTAACCTCTGCCTCCTGAGTAGCTGGAATTATAAGCATGAGCCACCATGCCCAGCCTATTACCTTTTCTATTCTTATTAGTCATAATTTCAATTTTTCTTATTTACAATACATTGTTCTGCAACTAAATAACACAGATAAATGTCTACTTTTTCCAACATCCTCCAATAACTAAAATATCTTATTCTGCAATCTATATACTCTCTCTCGTTCTTTTTCTCTCTCTCAAAGACCCTGCAGGTTCAGATATCAATAACCACAGGTACCTGCTAATTTCAAACAAACTACTTAAGAAGATGAAAAGAAAGAGCACACTGTCAAACAATGAGACTTGAGTTTTAGTCTTACCATAGTCTTTAGTAAGCTCCTGGATCTATGCAATAAGTCATTTAACTAAACTAAATCTCCATTTTTCTCTTCCGTTCATCTAAAGAAACTACCTGACCTACTTGCTTCTTTGAAAAATATCATAACCTGAATAATGAATATATCTTGAATAGCATAAAGTACTGTTAAAGTGTGATAGTGATGACATTGTTGGCAGTAGGGAACTAAATAGTAAGGCTCCAATATCTTCCAAAGAAACCACCAGTACAATGCAAAAGTAGACTAGGTTTTAAATTTATGAACATACAAAAGACATCTAAAAACTGACATCCAACTTGAGATATACCAGCAAAGGGTGTGGTTACACAATCTGAAGTACCTAAATATAAAAGGTAATGCTGTTGAAAAGCCTGCATTTTTTCAACTATGTCAAAACAAAAACAGAGCCCTAAATAGTTACCTAGTATATAAGAAGACATGCAAGCTCACTGTTAAAGGAATTCAAAGTAAAACACAATGTCTACACAGAAGTCTGAAAAAAATTATATATTTTAAAAGTACATCCCAAGGATATCACCCATATCTGACATTTAAACATGGAAGCGAAATAGAAGCAGAAATCAAGAATAACATTAGAATAAAATGAGCGAAACAAAAGAAGAATCACACAGAAATGGATGAAGACAGCATGCCATCAGCTGAGGCATAGAAATAACTAAATGCTCTCTACTCACAATCCATTTCAATAAAGCATACAACTGTAATATCATAACCCCATGAAGTAATATAAATTCATTATAACTCATAAAAAACACTCAGAAACTATTTATTCTTCACAAGGGGAAACAAAAGAAAGGTGGAAGTGTTTTCCTATAGATTTTTTTAAATGCAGAAAATGAGTACTTAACAGAGTAAGAGAAGACTTAAAAAAAAAAAAAAGAAGTATCTGGCATCAGGCAACCTAATAGCATCAAAACAAAACAGCTGCCTAAGACAAGAAAAAAAGAAAATACTTTGAAATTAAGTACAGCTCTCATACTTGACCATAGCCACCAAACAAACTATGGATAGAAATAACTTTGAAAGCAAAGCAAAGATCCTAAAAAGCTCAAGAAGACATATATTTATGATGATACAAAAAAAAAGCCAAATACAACTCAATGGTCTCCAGCATCGAGCTGTTTGATGTCACATTTATAAAACATCTGGATGATTAACTGAATTTTTCAGTTCCATCTGGTTGTTTACATGTCTGTAAACATAGCCACAGACATCAATATGAACTCTTAACACTTTCCAAAAACAGTATCAAGAATTACAGTGTTATATGGCTTTTTATTTGAAGCATAATAACCTGCTCACACATAGAAAACAAAATGCTAATCCTAATAGCTTTGATGACAACAAAAATTCCTTTTACCTGCAGCAGATGGTAATTCATACCTGTAATTTTTTTGTATATTGGTTGAACATAAATGTCACACATTCATTGATGGCACCTGTTCTTTGAAGAAGGAGCAATCCTTTGGGAGTGGCAGCAAAATTGAGTAAATCATCTAACAAATTGTCTTCCCAAGCCATACTGAAACAGGTAAAAAGAAATGTAGAGCTGCTCTTAATATAATCAAAACTGGAAACATTTCAGCTCAACATTCAATAATTAATTTGTAGAGTACACATTGGTTGTTAAATCTCAATAGATATTTTTAAAGAGACAAAAAAGAATGTTTTCTTCGATGGTGGATTCTTTTACAACTTCTCTCGCTCTAATTTTCCTTCGATGAGTAAATCAATTATTAACCATGTGTATCAGCAATTATATTGCACCTGTGCTCTCATCCAACCCTGATTTCATTCTACTCCTTGTTAGAATTCTGCTGGGCTTGTATTCCCCAAGCCTCAACACTCAGGTATTTCTGTACATTCTTTTCATTATAAAGTGTCTGATTTCTGATTTTCTAAATCATATTATACTTGCCATTTTTATTTTTATATGTTTTATCTTACTTCTAAGGAATAGCATCGTTGTTTTAGAACACATCTGTAGGGAAAATCAACAACTTCCTTCAGAGAAAAACCTATCAAGATTCTCCAGGCAAAGAGAATGAGAAGAACTTTTCTATTTTTTTTTTTGAGCGGGGGTCCGGTTACGGGGCCTGAACTCTGGGCCTGGGCGCTGTCCCTCAGCTCTTCAGCTCAAGGCTAGCCCTCTACCAATTGAAGCACAGTACCACTTCCAGCTTTTTTCTTTTTGCTTATGTGGTGCTGAGAAATCAAACCCAGGGCCTCTTGCATGCAAGACAAGCGCTCTACCACTGAGCCACCTTCCCAGCCCTAGAAGAACTTTTCAAGTGCATTATTAGATAATACCTACCTAGGGGGGGAAAATCAACTTCACCATTTATTTAAATTAAGAACAGTCCTTAAAGTTCTACCTAATTATTACCTTTTTAGACTTTGCAAAACTTTTAATTATAAAACTGAAAGAAAATCTGAGAACATGTCACCAGACCTGTTTAAAAGTCTGATTTCATATCCTCTTGATATTTGTAAAAAAAAAAAAAATACACAAATTAAAATGTTATATAAATGCTGATTTAAATCCTTTTCAAATGCCAAAACCTAATTAAGCTGAACTCTTACCACACTTAGAAATAAGTTATAATTTAAGTATGTAAGGATTTCACTGGCATTTGAACACTCCAATTAACTTTCCAACTTTAGTATTTGCTAATTCCTCAAATTTCCTGGAAACTCTAAAATATGTCAAGTTTCCCAACCCAATGTGTAAACAGAAGATGAAATAAAAATAATGAGTACCTTTTTAAAGGTTACAAATGTCACATAATTTTCCTTGAGCAGGTATGTATATATTTTTGCAATTTTTCCACAGAATTCTCTTACATTTCACTAATTTTAAAATTATCTCAGCCAAGATAATAAACAGATGACTGACAATTGTACTTACATGTTTTGAGATTCCTGACTTACTGAACAAATAGAATCAGAACCTTCCACAGGAGTAGGAATCCTCTCTGATAGCAAACTTGTCTAAAAATTACAACAGATTGATTTACTTTACTTTTTCAAATGATAGCACTACTCATGAGATCTTTGATTCTGCATTTTGGGACCACAATCCTTAATGTGGTTAAACTAATTAGGTTATTTAGGTTCTTTTTGTACATAACCTTTACAATATATTTTTTTTTACTCTTTTTTTTTTTTTTTTTTGTCGGTCATGGAGCTTGAACTCTAGGCCTGGGCACTGTCCCTCAGCTCTTCAGCTCAAGGCAAGCGCTCTACCACTTGAGCCACAGTGCTACTTCCAGTTTTCTCACAGACTTTCCTGCCTGGGCTGGCTTTGAACTGCAATCCTCAGATCTCAGCCTCCTGAGTAGCTAGGATTACAGGTGTGAGCCAGCAGCACCCGGCACAATAAAATTTTTTAAATAAATAAATAATTTGGATCAGGTGGAATGGTGCATATTTGTAAACCCAACATTTGGGATGCTAAAGCAGGAGGATAACAAGTTCTAGACCAGCCTGATCTATACGGCAAGTTCCCAGGCCAGCCTGGTCTACCTAGTAAGAACCGGTCACTATAAAACAAACAAACGTTAGATTACATGCTTTTTAAATGTCACAAAAATATTTCATAAGTGGGCCACATGAAATGGTATGCATCTTATAAATGTCTATTACTACTTTATGTTGTTAGTTATCTATAACAAAACCCACTTTCCTCTAAACATTGCTCAGAAATAGGTTTTGATCTAAATTAGTCTTTGCAAAGAGAAGGCAATGCTTCTCCTACCAGAAGAAAAGACTTTGTGGAACTCTGAGAAAAACTTAGAATCTTGTTTCACTGAAAGGAGTTACTGAAGACCTCCCATGCCAAATTTAGTGGCATGCTGATGCTTAACAAGTGATATTTGCACAGTATGATAATCATCCACCGTATGCTATTATAATGAAACCTGTAATTCAAATAAACATCTGTAAGAGGGAAAAAGGAATTTGGAAATACATACCTTCTTCCATGCCTTTGCAATAGATTCATGCAAACTGTAAGGAAGTAACACCTGCAAACCTTCACATGTACCATATATTTGCCGACACACGGAAATAAAAGCTCCTTTAACAATAGGTAACATTTCGGAACCAGAAAAGATGGAAATATCTTCATCAAGAAGCTTCTTCGAAAACTGGGCGATTATATGGGCACCTGTAGAACTAAAAGATGACATCAGAAATGTGATAGTGATATATAGTTATGTGCTATGAGTAACAGCACTCATGTAGACTTCATAAAGCACTACTCAAAAAGTTAACCCCATCACAACTGTTCATTAATTAGTTCACTTTTAATTGCCCTAAGAAGCTTTGCACAGCATGTCATGTGTAGGGATGAGAAAAGTTTCAGTGGAACTGGGAAAAGAAAATCCACACAGGAAAGAAGCAGGAAAGCTACACGCACTTACAAGGTGACAGATGCCAGGTAGTCAACTCTGGACATTCTCAACTTTTCAGGGAAAACAGTCTTAAATTCTCCATTATAAGCATTACTGTACACTTCTCATCCCATAACATAATACCTATATGTCAAAGGCTCAAACACTTTTACTTGCAGAAATAGGTTAAGTCGTAAGAACAATGGGTAAAAATGCTCACAATTCCTCATATCCCACTAGTCAGCCCAAATCAAATTTCTCCTGACTATATCAAAAATAGTTTGTTCGTGTTAAAGTTCATGCAAGTACTGTTTGAATGTTTCACAAATATACATGTATATTGGGAAGAAATATTCTCTCTGCATAAATGCTACAAATGTGATTAATAATTTCACTCATTTTGATGTTACCTTTTTAATTTGCAACTGGGCAATTAGTATACAAAACAGCTATGTGATTCCAATATCCTATCTACTCCCTCCATACATGTTTCTCCCATTTTTCTCTTTTTTTTTTTTTTTTTTTTTTTGGTCAGTTGTGGGGCTTGAACTCTGGGCCTGGGCATAATATGCTGTCCCTCAGCTCTTCAGCTCAAGGCAAGCACTTCACCACTTGAGCCAGAGCAGCACTTCTGGTTTTCTGAGTGGTTTATGGAGATAAGAGTCTCCCAGACTTTCCTGCCTGAGCTGGCTTTGAACCATGACATCCTCAGATCTCAGCCTCCTCAGTAACTAGGATTACTGGTGTGAGTCACCGACACCCGGCTCCATTTTTCTCTTCTTTCCCCTAAAATTATTTTCATGTTTACAGATTATCCAGTCATAATTTCCTCAAAGAATATAAACATACTAGCATTCTAGAAGCATTTTTCTCAGCTTTCTCTTTTTACTTACTATGTACTGGAGATAAGAGTACAGCATTTCATAAAAATATAGCTAATTCTTGCCGGGCGCCGGTGGCTCACGCCTGTAATCCTAGCTACTCAGGAGGCTGAGATCTAAGGATCACGGTTCAAAACCAGCCCAGGCAGGAAAGTCTGTGAGACTCCTATCTCCAATAAACCACTAGAAAACCGAAGTGGCACTGTGGCTCAAGCAGTAGAGCGCTTGCCTTGAGCTGAAGAGTGCAGCAACAGTGCCCAAGCCCAGAGTTCAAGCCCCATGACCGACAAAAATAAATAAATAAAACAGCTAATTCCTTTTTTACAGCAAGATGCTCAATGTTCAATTGTGTGAATATAATTTAATGAATCAGGCTTACTACCAGATATTTGAGATTATTTCGGTCTCTTGCTAATAGAATAAGCAGAGCATATACTTTTAACTGCACAAGGAAGGTTCAGGGAAAAAAAAACATTCCCCTTTTTATATTAATATATAATAATACAAAATAAAGGGGTTTATTGTATTTCATATGTATGTATAATGTACTTTGATCATGTTCACCTTTGAAATATCACCACTTACATTTGTTCCCCTTTCTTCTAGTCTCTTTCTATTGCAAAATAGTTCTTTTATTTCAAATATTTTTAAAATGTAGAATTTACATATTAATAGAAAACATGGGATATTTGTCTGAGTTTAGATTATTTGACTTAACATGACAACCTCCAGATCCATCCATTTTTCCTGAAAACATGACTCTATTCTTCTCTATAGATGCATACCACACACACACACACACACACACACACACACACACACACACACACACAGAGTGCATTTTTTAACCATTTATCTGTTGATAGGCATCTAAGCTAATTCCATAGCTTGGCTATTGTCAGCATTATTTCAATAAACAGGGGGTGTTGGTATCTCTATTATATAAAGACTTTAATACTTTCTGGAATTATGCCCAGAACAAGTATAGCAGGATTATAGGGTAGTTATACTTCTTTTTTTTTTTTTTGAGAAATCCCTATACTGATTTCAATAACCAGACTAATTTACATTCACCACAACTGTGTATTTCCCTATTTGCTATCATTTCTTGATTATTTGCCCCAAAACAGCCATTCCAACTGGCGTCAAATGGAATCTCAACAGTCTGTTCACAGCTAGTGCTCTGCCACCTATGCCACACCTTCAGTCCATCAAGGTAGTTTTGATCTGCATTTCTTTTTTGGATAACAATGTTAAGCATTTTTTTCTTATATTTATTGTCATGTGTAGTTTTCCTGGGAATTGTCTATTCAGTTCATTTGTACATTTATTAATTAGATTATTTGCACCTTTAGTGTTTCATGTTTGGAAGCCTTTGTATATTCAAGGCTTTTGGATGAATACCAGGGAAAATGCTTCTCCCATTCAGTAGGCCGTCTCTTTACCCTGGCATTTGGTTCCCATGCTGTCCTGAAAGCTTTTGTCAATTCTTGATTGTATTTCCTGAGTTATCAGTCGAATTCAGAAATGTTTGTCTCTGTCTGAACTGGTTTCCTGTAGTCATTTCAAATTTTCATGTCTTCATGTGAGAGATAAGGATCTAGGTTCAGTCTTCTAAATGTGGACATCCAATTTTCCCAGTACCATTTTCACAAAACCACCTTTTCTCCACTGTTTTGGGGGCCTTGTCCAGAAATAGATGGCTATAACCATGCGGGTCTTATTTCTGGGTCTTCTATTTCATTGGATAGACATGTCTACTTTGTGCCCGTACACTGCTGTTTTATTACCATGACTCTGTAATGTAATTTGAAATCAGGCATTGTGAAATCTCCAGCATTACTCCTTTGTTTTGGATATTTGGGGTAATTGTGTTCTTTGAGAATTATTCTTCCTATTTCTATGAAGAATGTCATTAAAATGTTAATGGGGATTTCACTGTAGCTGTAGATCACTTTTGGTAATATGTACATTTTCATAATGTTGTGCCTCCCATCCAAAAACATCAGGAATATTTCCACCTTCTGTGATTTCTTCTAAGAGTTTAATGGAGAAGGGTCTTCAAGTACACATACCATATTTGAAGAGGAATAATTTGACCTCTTTTCCTATTTTTATTCTTTTTCTGGTCTTTGTTTCTGAATAAGAATTCAATACTATGTTTATTAGGAGTAGAGAACTGTTGGACAGCCTTCTCTCAATCCTAATTTTAGAGAAAATGTTCCCAGGTTTTCCCTCATGCAATATAATGCATAGATAGCCTTTATTATGTTAAGGTATGTCCCAGCTTCTTCAGGGCTATATCATGAATGAATGTTAAATTTTGTCAGAAAATTTTTCTACATCTATTTAGATGATCGTGTGGGGGGTTTTTTGGCCTTGATTCTATTATGTGCTGTATTACACTTATTGATTTCTATATGTTGAATCATTATTACATGCCTAGAATGAATCCACCTCATTATGGTATATGATATTTTTAATATGTTATTGAATTCAGTATCGAAGAATGTTATTGAGGATTTTTTGGTCTATTCATCAAGCAAATTGGCCTGTCATTTTCTCTTTTATTATGTCTATTCACATGTGGTATCAATTCAACAGTAGCTTTGACAATGAGTTAGAACCCTTTCATACTGTGGCCAAAATACCTGAGAAAGAGCGATTGATTTTGACTCATAATTTCAGAGGGTTTGGTCAGCAGTCATTTGATCTTAGGGGTTGAATAGAATATCATTATAGAGTACATGGCAGTGACAGACAGGCAGACAGACAGACACAGAGTGTCAGGAACTTATCTCACTGAACTATTTCCTCTCTCGGGTGCCAGAACATGGTATTTCCAGAACCTCCCAAATAGCAACACTAGATGAGGACCAACTCCTGAACAGATGAGTGTTTTCAGAGGAACACACCATAGCCAAATGAGAACATTTTCCCCTGACTGAAAAAGCATATGCCTACCTTATAATATAAAATATATTCAGTCCATTTCTGTGAGCCCTATAGTTATAACAGTTCCACCAATGTTTGAAAGCCCAAATTCAAAATCTCTCTCCTGAGACTCAAGGAAAACTCATAGCTCTGAGCCTTTTTAAATTATACATACTTCCAAAAATACACTGAGAGTAAACACTGTCATGCCAAAAAGAATGAGTGGAGGAATGTGTCTAAAGCAGGACCCACACACAACAGAGAACACATTACATACTGTAGCTCCATTTCTAGAATTGGGAGCATATGCTGTCATAATCTGAGCTCCAAAGAGCTTAGGCAGCCCTATCTCTATTTCCTTTACACTTTGCACACTGGCTTCTCTCTTGGGCTGGCTCCACTTGTTGCCTGTGGCTTTCCTCAGCAGACATTCTGCAGTCCTGACATTGCTAATCTCCTGGTGTTTCCAATGCAGTTTAGGCTTCACTCTCACAGCTTCACACATCACTCTCTCATAGGACATTGTGTGGCCTCCCAGGCCTCCTTTGGAAATCTGGATAGAAGCCCTCATCTTGACTCAACTCTTGGAATCTCCATTCCTGCAAAAACAGCATCACCTATATTAAGTCAAAGTCTGCTGACACCTTTAAAAAGTATATCTAGGCCCCTTTGGCAAAGGCTGTAATGGCATTTGCGTGCTAAGTAAGGTCGGAGATATACTTCCTGAGTAGCCCTGTTCTAGTAGGGAGCTAAGAGAATATTAATGACCAAAAGGTTCACTTTTTGAAAGGAGTGTAAAGTCGATAAGCCCCTGGTCAATACAAGAAACCATTCATATCAAAATAAAAGAGGGCCATCACTACTGATCCTACAGACAAAAAATAGTATGTGATATTTTAAACAACTGTGTGCCCGCAAATTGGAGGTGTTTATAACTGAGCTACTTCCTCACCAAACACAATCTGCTAAAACTCACACCAGAGGAAAGAAGCATTCTGAATAAGCCTGTATCTTTTAAGCAAACTGAATCCTTAATAAAAATATAAGGCACAAAGCTCACATTTGTTCATCAGTCAGTTTTAAAAGATACAAGGAAAAAACTTAATCAGTTCTTTACAATCCATTCCAGAGAACAGAAAAAGAATGAGTGGTTCCTAACTTACAATATCAAAACGTGACAATGAAAGTAGAGACAGAAAGTAGAGACAGCTATCATTCATCTATGTGTCAGAAATCTTCAAGAACTCCAAACAATGTGTACCAGGAATTATTCATCACTACCAAATAGGATTTATCATAAGCAGGTAAGTCTACTTTAACATTCAAAAACTTAAAGTAATCTATCACTTCAACAGGCTAAAAAAGAAAATGAACATTTGCTGCAAAGTTGTTTTCAGAGGCAAAATTCTACATAAAATTTGATACCCATTACCAAGGAAAATATTTGTGAAAATTATGGTAAAATAAGACAAACAGGATAATACAATTATTTGAAATAATGCTCTATTCTGTACTCACCTAGAAGAATGTCAATGATAACATAAAAACTCAAATTACAGAATATATCTAAAATGCTACCATTTTAGATAGGGTAGGTAAAAATGTGCATGTATGTGTGCACATTTAAAAAGTCTAGAACTTTGGACACCAAAAGGTTACCATTGGTTACCACTAGCTAAGGAAGGAGTTATGGCAGAGAAGGAAGAAGTGAAAACAGTTAAAATAGCTAGCTTTTCTTTGAGTACCTTTTTTTTTGGTTTGCTTTAAATCAATAATGTGCACCTTTGGAAGTTTGCAAGACAGCGTCTCAAGAAGACCAAAAAAAGGGCAGATAGTGGAAGGCATCCCATATGGAGTTAACCATCTTAGTCTTATTTCAAAATATTATATTAAAAATCATTTAGCATGTTATTTGTGGCTGGTCAGGGAACTTAACTATATCTGATACGGTTATCCAGATTTACAATGTAGGTAAATACCTTTCTTCTTTAGAAGAGTGCACATTTTCTCCATAAAGAAGTAAAATAAGTCCTTCTTCTGCAGAAGCAACTCTTGCCAAGATATCAGCAATGTGAATTAAAGCTGCTTCAGAGCAATTTGGAGCAACCTATGCATTAAAAAGATAACAAGACAAATCATGTGATTTTATCACATATCAAGGTAGTATGTAGTCCAATAAAAGTTACATTACCACAACCAAAACAACCCCCCCGCAAAACATTCACTTTAATGATTTGCTTGACTGTGAAATAATATGATGGAATTCAATGTGTCATTAGATATATTATTTTACCAGCACAACTGATGAGGCAAAAAATTCAGGTTTTCATTTATACTAGTTCTTGAAAATGGCTCTTCTATTACATTGCTGTATATACAATTCTGGTTGGCAAATGTAGTAGCTCCATGTATTTTCCTTCTGTCCAGGACTCCTCACCCACTGAGCACCTGAATACCACCAATTTGTCTACTAGCCAAAACTCTCTATCAATGAGAAAATAGACCACGCCAACTTATTTCTTCACTATAAAAAGTAATACTAAAATGTTCTTGCTATCATAGAGCAAAACAGCACAAAATAAATATCATAAACTGGAGAATGATGTCAACACTGGAGCCCATTTACACTAATGCCTGTTCTTTCAGAGTGTACTAGTTCTTAACACAGATGCCATACCTACCCACATCATTGCTCTATAATAAAATTTAAAGTATATATATACATTGCAACAAATATATTCATAAATCTGACAGAGTAACTTAACAAGGGATGTCAGGTATATTCTTCTTCTAATATGTAGAATTAGCTACCACATTATATTCAGCAGTTGCATATTTTCATATAAAATACCCTTCATATAAAAACTTGTCTACCTAGGTATTTCCTTTTATGTGTTTCCATATAAATAGATATTTATACATATACATATACATGAAAATACTATATAGTCTCTAACATATAGAAACTTACACTAGTTTTAGAACTTTGTGATCCTCATTTTAAATACTATTGACCTCCAAGTCTCGTTCTCCTAATCAAGAGGCTCTAGCACAGAACAATGATATAGTTAGAAGTGGCTCAGGAAGTGATATTCTGAGTCTTAAACTGGATAGCAAAGGTCTACTGTGGTCATAGGACTAGTCATGGCCTTAAGAATATAAGTACTGCAATATAAGTACAAGTGCAAAAATAAACACAATGGAGACATGGAGTAAAATACCTTAGTTGTCAAGCGAGAAAGTGTGTGACAGTCCACCAAGGTATGGGCAAATAAGGGACATGAACACCGAAGACTCCACAAAACAGATACAAAAGGGCACAACCTCTCAGCCTTTTGATACAGTTAATGTTAAATGTCCAGCCTTGAGCAAGTCACTTTTTTTTTAGCCTCAGTAGTGATTAATCTACATAAAGTAAGGGATTAACACTACATTAACTGTAACAGACATGCATATGTGTCAAAAATGGGATTATACACAAGCTTTCTTTCTGAGATAACACTTTAGGAAAATAATCGTATTTCCACAGCCTATAAAATTGTCATCAAAAAGATATTCACAAGATTTATTACACTTCTAAGACAAATGGCTTTCTAGTACAATTTTTCTAAGTCCTTTGCATCAAGAGGTCCATGTCGGATTAGAAAATAATTAAGATGTGATATATATAGCCTCCTACCTTGTCATAATTAATAAGTAAACTAACCGCATAAACTATGATTTAACAAGTAAAAATGTGTATCAGCAAACAATGCATTCATATTTGAAAATATGTGTTTAAATATTTCAAATATGTCAAAAGTAGAATGCTACCCAATAGTCACAATTATCCAGTGAAAATACTGGATTCCTAAGTAAACAATACCAACCTCAATTCCCTTCATCAAGTTGTGGATAGGCTGGAGAAGTGTGTCTATCACCGTGGTGTTATACAAGCATTCAACTGCACATTCTTTTTGGTCACAGAGTATCTGTAGAACTTCAGTCACCATGCTTGCAGGGGAATACCTTTCTGACAAAGAGAATTATTGGAAAAATTAAAAATGATAGTATTATGGGGTTGGGAATATGACTTAGTGGTAGAGTGCTTGCCTAGCATACATGAAGCCCTGAGTTTGATTCCTCAGTATCATATAAATTGAAAAAGCCAGAAGTGGCACTGTGGCTCAAGTAGTAGAGTACTAGCCTTGAGCAAAAGAAGCTCAGGGACAGTGCCCAGGCCCTGAGTTCAATCCCCAGGACTGGTAAATAAATAAATAAATACTACTTATTCCTATTGCTTTTAATTATGTGTTTGTTAGTATGTTCTAAAAATTCAACATCCAAGATAATCTAATAATTCAAAATCATATAACTTAACACACCACAAAAATTATGTCCTGAAACTTAACATCTCAATTAGCTTATCTTTGATTTCATAAAAATAGTCACTGAAATAAATCTGAACTTTTTTTTCTCTTTTTTTGGTAGTGTTGGGGTTAGATTTCAGGGTCAACCTGAGAAGAAGAAAATGGAAAGGGATTCAATCTTTTTTTTTCCAACCAATCCAGATGAGAAACTTGAAACAAGTGATACTATCAGTGAGTAAGCATTTAGCTATTCACTAATTCTTCCAACCGCCTATAACTGACAACCTGCCACATACACTGTACTAAATACTCTAGTCAGAGAAGCAAGTAAGACACAAACAGTCCAGTAGATAATTACCAAAATGTTAACAAGGGATTTTATCAAAGTGGACTGCTACAGATGGATGTAGATGGGGATTGAGGCTAGAAACACATGTGAATGGTTTAAGGCAGACAGAGCCTGAGAATCACCATTAAGATCAATGGGCTGCATATATAAATCCTACTAACTGGACATCTATTGTAGCACTCATATGTAGCCCAAAACAGATTTTTACTTTTCTTTTCTTTCTTTTTTTAAATTTTATTTTATTGTAAAAATGTTGTACAAAAGGGTTACAGTTACATGAGTAAGGTAATGAGTACATTTCTTATTGAACATTGTTACCCCCTCTTTGTATTTCTCCTACTAGCCCATCCCTTCCCCCACACAGAAGTTGTAAAGTTCGTTTCCCACATAATGTTTTGTGAGTATCATGGTTGCAATGGGTCATTCTGTGCCTTGTTTCAGCATTTTGTTGTTTTCCTTCCCCTCCCCAAATTAGATAAATGTATATACAAGATGTAGACACTGGAAACAAATAAAGTGACAACAGGGAATATACCATAGGGGGAAGAACATAAAAAGAACAAAAAAAATTCACATAGTACATTAAAAACAACAGCAAAAAAGTAAAAATCTCTTGTGTCCATATCTTGGGGTTCATTTTCCTTAGTATCATCATATATGGTCATATGTACATAGCCTTTGAGCTTTTCCATCATCTGATAAGATTATCCTAGACATATACTAATTATTGCAAATAAGGAAAACCACAGGACCTATATTTCTTTGGGCCTGGCTTACTTCACTTAATACGATTTTTTTCCAAGTCTTTCCATTTCCTAACAAATGGGGCAATGTCATTCTTTTTGATGGAAGCATATAATTTCATTGTATATGTATACTACATTTTCTTAATCCATTTATCTACTGAGGGGCATCTGGGTTAGTTCCATAACTTAGCTATGGTGAATAGTGCTGCGATAAACATAGTTGTGTTGGTAGCTTTAGTATGGCCTTGTTTGTGATCAGTCTCTGGGGCTTGAACTCTGGGCCTGGGCACTGTCTCTGAGCCTCTTTGTGTTCAAGGCTAGTGCTGTACTACTTGAGCCACAACACCATTTCCAGAATTCTGTGAATAGTTTATTGGAGATAAGAGTCCTATGGGCTTTCCTACCTAGGATGCTTCAAAACATGATCCACATCTCAGCCTTCTGACTAGTATTACAGGCATGAGTTATGGGTGCCTGGCTCCAGATTTTTCTTTGAATCCAAGTTTTCCTCAGGACTTGTACCAGTACTTCCAAGGCACTTACCAAATTTTAGAGAATATGATCTACTTTATTGATGTGATCTCACATTAAGTGTTTTAGACAATATGATCTACTTTATTGACGTGATCTCACATTAAGTGTTTTACTTTTAAAATGTACTGGTATTCAAAGGAAAAAGAAGTCACCTTTTACATATCAGTAATTAAAAATGTTTATATTCTAGTCAACATGCATAAAACTGAAAAGAACAAAAAAGATAAAGGTTCCTTTATTTTCTGTACCTCTCAATAAAAGAAGACTCTGAAAATGATTGAGATTTTGAATGTGAGTTGAAACAAGCAAGCTGATTTTTTTTTTAATCCTGGCAAGTATAAAGGACAGAAATATTAAAAGAAAACACTCTAGTATCTATCATTCAAATTTTTCTTGTTATTTCTTGAGACTCTCTTGATTTTAATAAGGAATAACATTAAAATTCTCAGCAAGACTGATTCAAAATAAAAATATTAGATTAGAAATATCTTAAAACATTAATGAACAAAATTAAACTTAAATGACTTACCTCAGAACCAATGTAATTTCTTACCAATAATTCTGTATCCTAATAAAACCTATTTACCAAACTATGTCACACATTCAAAACACCTAGAAAATAGCATTAAATATTTTAGATGATTTCTCTTTCTCTATTTAAAATAGAAGCAGAATTACCTGAGTGTGCAGTTGATGTCATCTTTGAACAACTCGGTGAATAATAAATTAGTTGGGTAAAGAGAACCAACAGATCTGTGAGGGATAGTGAATCTTTACAAAGAAAAAATGGAAAAAAATAATTATTTCTCACATATACTTACAATCTAAAAAGTTTAGTTGTATCCTATCTATGTGGATGATTATATCACAGTTTCTATGAAAACCTAAATTGGCAGAAAGCTACAATGGAAGACAGATAACTCCAGAACCAATTAGACAGAGTACAATAAAAGACAGCAGAGCAAATAATATAATAGCTAGTAGGTGAAGTTACACATTTGAATCTGCTTTGGATCAACCGCTTAACATAAACATAATAGAAAGCTGGACAAATCTCACCATGACTCTGAGATGACATTAATTATGTGCACTAAACTTCAACTTAACCTATTAGCCCAGCTAACTTTCATATGGTTTTATAGAAAAGAAGTCAGCAAACATTTTCTGTCAAAGACAAAACAGTCAATATTTTAGACTTTATGGCCAAACCACTTCGCCACAAATACTCAAGTCTGCTGATATAATACTAAGTAGCAAGTAAATGACTATGGCTATTTAAAAGTTTTACTAGTAAATTTTAATATTTGTGCATCTTTCACATGTCATGAAATGACTGATTTTTTTCAACAATTTAAAAACACAGAAATTATTCTTGACTCACAAGTACACAAACCAGATGGCAGAACAGATTTGGCCTGTGGCTAGAGTTTACCAAACCTTACTAAAGAAGCTTCATCAAGGTCCAAATGGATAGTTTGCAACTATGAAAATAGAAAAATTGTTTGGGGAAGGAGAGTGATAGAGGAATGAGACTGATTAGAATACATTATAAACATGGGAAGAAATGTAACAATAAAACCCCTGTCCCCATTATAATTAATGTCACCTAATTTTTACTAAAATTATAGAAAAAGGATAGATGGTATGTAAAGATAAATACAGGCCTATGCTATTACAGTAGAATAAACCCTTCAAACTCAGTTTTGAGATAACCTGGTATATTTGGTAGGCCAAAATATATAGTCAATGTTAATATAAAATGCTAAACTATAGATAATAATCTGTAAACTTATCAGAAGCCTTTCTACTTCTAAAAAGTACATCAATATCCTACACAATAGCAGTTCTTTAGATGAAAGTCAGTCCTCTAGTAAGTACCCATGATATGCCTTTGTTTCCTAAAACTACACAACACAAACATGAGGACTATACGAGATTTACATAGACAGTCTTTTCTCAAGGAGTTCACAGTTGGGAAAATAAATAGAAAGAATTAGAATAAAAATAAGCAAAAAGAACTAAACAAACCAGTATTCAAAATGAATATTCTTTACAAAAGGAGGGTCACCAAATTTTAGCACTTATGATATGATTTCATAAGGTTCACAAGCTAAGAATAGATTTCACATTTTTTAAATGTGTTAGGGGTCCTCAAAGTATGCTGAGATTCAGCAATTTATTAGGAAGATTCAACACAGAGTTGTACTCATGCTACGCCCTATTTCAATAAAAGGATGCAAAATAAAACCAAAGGGAAAAAGTATACAGAATAAAATCATCACAAGCTAAGAACAAGCTTTTCCTAGCCTTGTCCTGATTAATTCTTCCAGCAATAAGCTGTGATATCACATGTGAGATGTTGCCTACTAAAAAACTTCATTCCAAGTCGCAGCATCCAGGTTCTTTACAGGGGGCTAAGCAAGGAAGACTCTCTGCCTAGTATATTTCCAAATTCTAAACTACAAAGAAGAGAGAAGGAAGTGGTCAGAGTGAATCGCATTGTTTGCATAAACAATTCAAACACAATGATCAGTGTACAAATACCTTAAGTATCATTAACAATGGAGGAACTAATAAGATTGTAGGTTTCCAGATGTCAGCCAAAAGCCAACCTTGAAAGGGAGCAATTCTAAATATAGCAGCCTCAAGCCAGCAATGTTTATTCCTTTTGTACACTACACACACATACCCACACACAATAGAAGGGGTATATAGCACCACAAGTCTAAAATATTTACTATTTGGCATTTTACAAGAAAAGTTTGCTGAACCCTAATCAATACTACATTCTTAGTAGAGCTAGTATTTTTAGAGAATTAATTAAATAATCAATGTGCTAAGGATAACATCAATGTGCTATATAGTTTGAATGGAAGAAAATAAATAGGATTAGGAAAAATAATAGGATGATGTTTCAACTACTGTGTTCTCAAAACTAAACTTGATCATAAACATTCTGAGACCCACAACAGTCAGATCATTATTCCATTTTTACAAATTAAAAAACTGGAACGTCAGAGGACCAGTGGTTTGCCCAAAAGACAAAAGATGATTTGTAGACCAGCCAGAACTTAAGAGGTCTTCTAGAATAAAGATAGCAGTGACACTGACTAAGAAGCATTGTACTCGTAACTTCACTTATGGAATTATATCCCTTTGTATAAAAATTTAATAGTAAAAATAGTAATTTTTTAAAAGGTCTTCTAGTCTATATGCAAAACTGAACCAGTACATAAATAAGGTCTAGGATTTTGAAAGGCAGAAATAAACAAAACAATCATTAAAAGCTGGGGAAATAGAAAAACTTACACAGGCTAAAGTAAATACATACTGAAAACCAAAAGAAAAAATATTTAGGGGCTGGGAAGGTGGCTCCATGGTAGAGTGCTTGCCTTGCATGCCTGAGGCCCTGGGTTCAATTCCTCAGCACCACATAAGCGGAAAAGGTCAGATAATGTGATGTTAGGAAAATGAATCCTTAGATACGTATTTTAATGTTTTTTTCCTTTCATGCATTTGTTTCTAACACATTTATAAGATTATCTCTTTGTAGCTTTGTATGTCCCTCCCCCACAGTATAACCCCTGCTTTCACTATATTTGATGTCAGTATAACTTGTAGAGGAGATGGGGAAAAACAAGTTGTTTAAGGATACAGGTGGACCTGTTGCAACAATGAGAAGTACAAGTTGTAGTGTCGAAAATGAGCTTTACAATGTTGGGGGGTGGGGGAAGCGGGGAGGATTGGGTGGGGGGTTAGGGGGGGAGGCTGGGAAGGGATGTGAAGGGTAAACAAAGGAGGAGGCTGCAATGCTTGATAAGAAATGTACGCATTAACCTGCCCATGTAATTTGTAACCCCTCTGTACAGTGTGTTCACAAAAAATAAAAAGAAAAAAAAAAGAAAAAGCTGGAAGTGGCACTGTGGCTCAACTGGTAGAGCACTAGCCTTGAGCTGAAGAGCTGAGAAACAGCATCCAGGCCCAGAGTTCAGGCCCCATAACTGGCAAAAAAAAATAAAATAAATTTAATAAATAAAGAAATAAATATTTAAAGATGCATGAGACCAACAAGTAGTCAAATGTTCTAAAAGAGACCATATTAAATCTTCAAGTCTGAATAAAGTAATATATATTTTACATATATTATTTTATATATGCTTATAACCATACAATTCTTACTATATCTTAACCTATTCTTAACCTATCATCTTCTAAATGCACTTACCTTTTCTATTCTTTAGCTTTATGGGAAATAATTTTCTGCCTTGTGTATATATCAGCAATCTTCCTAAAAGGCATAGTGAGTGAATGAAATATATATACTGTAATTCTTGTCCTGAATAGTAGAAAGTTTTCTGTTTGTTCCCTTAAAAGAGAAGAAAACAATAGCATGTATTTTGATGTTGTTATATTCTACAATATATTTTCAGAATATCAAATAGTTTTGATATTCAGAATTACATCAAACATTGTTGGTGTAATTTTTTAATTCTTTACTATTTCCTAAGATCTTTTACTCTAAATCTGAGGAAAGGCAGTCATTACAAAATTGGCTACACTCATAAAAGTGTAACATACATCCAATGTCCATTCTAAAATACCTCCAAAACTGTCACCAAAAAAGGATTCAAAAAGCAAGTTAAGGGAGAGAAGACATTAATAGAAAATATTGCTGCTTAATTTTATCCATTAAAGTTAACACAAATAGTCTATTCAAATATTCCAAAATCAAAAAAACTCTGAAATCTGAAATCTTTTTGTGACTAGTCTTCATGGTTTCAGTTAAAGAATTTACTAAGAGAGAAGATAATATAAGTTATCACTGTACTCTCAACTTCCCAATTTGTAGAAAAATAGAACAGCCAAAAAAGATATGAGAGTTTCTTTGAAGAATAAGTATAAAAATCATACACAGTTAAAAATGAAGTTTATTCTTTTATAACAAGTAATATATCTAGCCAAGTGTGGTGGTACATGCCTGCAATCCAACACTTGGAAAACTGAAGCAAGATGACTGGGGTTCAATGCCAATAAGCACTATATAACAAAACCCCATCTCAAGACAAAAAAAATGAAAAGAAAAAATGTATCACTAGACTAGTATCATAAGTAATTATAGATGGAAGAATACAAGTAGGAATAACAATACAAAGTAGAAACTAGTATGCAAAAGAATCTAAGAGAAGATCCAGTCTAGTCAGTAACAAAAAAAAAAAAAAAAAGAGAGACATGAGAGTCAGACTATGAAACATCTCACGTAGAACATAGCTGAAAGTGAGAACTCAGAGGGCAGGCTGGAGTAGTCAATAACAAAAACTACATGTTATGTAACTTCTCCCAATAAGGTACCTGATTAAATGAGGAATACATGGGTAAGGGGAGAGAAAACACTATATCTATTACAGATCCAACAGATTCGAGAATTGAAGAACTGCATATAGAAAAAGAATCAGCATAATGACGAATTAATTCAAAGATATGTTACAAAAGGTCATAATTATAGTGCAGCTTTTAAACTTGTAGGTGTTCATTTTATTTCATTGACAAAATTGAACTTAGAATGCCTCTAACAGTTACTAAAAATTAAGGCATCACTCAGCTAACTTTATACTTCAATAAAAAAAATAATACTTGCCACAATACTTTGAATGTCCCAGAGTCACATCAGTTTTCATGGCCTCACACAATTCCAAGTACTTGACACACTGCTGAACTGCTGTAGTTACCTGATGAAATAATAACAACTTATTAATTTTGGAAGTTTTCAGCCTAAAGACCTAAGATGGATTTTTTAAATTTTTGTTATTTTTTATTTTTATTTCTTGTTGCTGGTCCTAGGGCTTGAACTCAGGGCTTAGGCATTGCCCGTGAGTAGTTTTTTGTTGTTGCTTTTTTTTTTATTGTGAAAATACTGTACAGAGGGGTTACAATTACATGGGCAAGGTAATGAGTACATTTCTTTTTGTTTTTTTTAATGAGTACATTTCTTATCAAGCATTGTAGCCTCCTCCTTTGTTTCCCCTTCCCCATCCCTTCCCATCCTCCCCCCCCCCCCCCCACCTCTCCATGAGTAGTTTTATTCAAGGCTGGCACTCTACCACTTGAGCTATAGCTCCACTTCCAGCTTTTTTGGTAGTTAATTGGAGATAAGAGTCTCACAGACTTTCTTTCCCATCTGGCTTCAAATTGTGATCCTGAGATCTCAGCCTCCTGAGCTGCTAGTAACAGGCATGAACCACCAACGCCCAGCCTGAAATTTAGTTTTAAAGAAAAATGTTGAGACTGGAAATGTGGCTTAGTGACAGGGTGCCTGACTAGCATGCACAAAGCCCTGGGATCAATTTCTCAGCATCACATAAACAAAAAAAGCCAAAAGAGTGCTAGCCATGAGCAAAAAGAAGCTCAGGGACAGTACTCTGGCCCTGAGTTCAAGCCCTAGGACTGCCAAAGAGAAAAAAGAAAACAAAGCTATAAAATGCTGGAGGAAAAAATTTAAGAAAATACTTAGAATGTTACCTTTCTAGTCCCTGAAGCTCAGTTTCTCAGTTACACTTCAACTATGGAATTACTTTTTAAAACACCAGGAAAATATTTGGGAACCAACACGTACATTCTGTCTATTGACAGAAATAAATACATACTTTACATGTTAATGAGAAATGAAAAAGCTCCGTAGCCATGACTTAAATACTCTTTTATCCAGTTCACTAGCCTAGGAGCCTTTTCTTCCCACCCAACTAGCAAAAGATCAATCAGATGAAGCCTCCATTCCCATTTCAAATACCAGAACTTTTGCAGAAAAACAGATACAAACAGATACTTCAAAATTCAAAACCAGAGTCACAATAAAAAAGTGAACTGCAATCATAACTGCATGTAATGATTCTCCTAGGAGTTTCCATTCTCTCTTCTTCCATGCTCCCTTTTCCACAGCACCTACCTACTTCTTACAGACACTCCTTTATCTCTACTTTTCAAACAAAAGTCACTAATGAGATTGCCACAGATAAATGTTAGAATTGGTAATAAAAAGATTGTTGGTCATATCAAAAAGATCAGTTTCAGGTGAGTTTCAGGATTCCTGATTACAATAAAGGCATAAGAACAAATAAAAATATAATTTTCAAAGTATAATTATATATAGTATAATTTTCATTTTTCAGGAAAGTTGGACAGGAAGAAAATAAAAACAGAGTGACCACTGGTCTAGAGTATCAGGCCAGTATGGAACTTTTTATCTGGTTGGAGGGATAGGGCCAGGCTTAAGTGTTCCAGAGAGTAGCCCAATGTAGAACGATCTGACTACACAGGAGAGAAAGAAGAGTTGACAAGAGGAAACAACAGCTCGGACCCAAGTGATGAATGATTAAGTTCTAGATCTAGAAAGTGCAGGTTGCTTGGACAGAGGTAAGTTTGGATTTCCCTACCCACTTCATCGTTAGGGTTTCCGTTGCCTGCAGAGAAGAGTTAATATAGCAGAACTCCCGTCTTTACAAACAGATGTTTTTAAAGTTAAAATTAAAGCATTGGGAACCTGGATTTCAGGAGAACTTCCATCATCCCAAGAAGTGCTGAGAGGGCTTTTGCTGAACAAGTTTGTACAAATAATGTGGTTTATGTCCTTTAGGAGTCTGAGATCCTGGTATGTACTAAGTAGAGAATGCTTCTACGGATCACTCCCAGTAAGAAAGACTGGGCACTGAGTCTCTCTTTTCCCTGTGGAATGCATTTCACTCAAGCTGTCATCTTCCCTAGCAAGTTTTCCTCTTACCGAATACTTAAGTAATGACATTAATCACTCCAATAGTCAGACGTCAACCACCCCCATTCAAAGGACAAGATATCTAAATCCTATTGTCTAAATATGGTATTCCTGAGTCCAACCGCATATCCCAGTTCCACTGCCACACCTTTAATTCACACTGCAATCATCACTATTTGCTTCTATCACTGCACAGCCTCCTCTTGCCTTAACACTTCTCCTCCATGGTATTTCCAATCCAAGTAACAATGCTATTTGGGGGTACTTTTGACACAAAAAATGGTAAAGCTAAAGCACATAGTAAAATAATAGTAATAATAATAGTAAATAGTAATAGTAGTAAAAAAAAAAAAGACATATTAAAAAACTAAGAGAAGAGTAACTAACATAAAACTGTCTCCAAAATAACATACCTCTCAAAGACAAGTTCAGGTGCAATCAAACTTTCACCAATTTCCTTGCATTTATCTCTACCATCTACTTAAATCTCTTGTACTCCCTCTACCGTTTCCTCTAACTTTCTAAATATTCTACTCTTTTGTAAGAAATAGTAATAACCGTGGGGAAAGAATAACCTCATGACAGAAAATGATCACATTTCAGGACATCTCACTAAACCGCAGGAGCAGAAAGCAGGCCTATACACGAGGTGAATCTAAGCACTAGAGAGTGGATTTCTGGGTATAATAAAAGATTGTCTCGCTCCTCAGGTAGATAGACAAAATTATGCAATAAAATTCAGAACTGTATTCAATACACAATGCACTGTGTTATCAGATATCTATCATCTACTTCATTTAGCTGTTAACTTTAAGAAAAGTTAAATTCAGGAGAAAAGATAAATCCAATAGGGTGTAGGGTAGGAAAAAATCAAGTGAATATTTAACCTAAATGTTGAGTCACTTTTTAAAAATGACTTTCAGAGAAAGAAAAACAGCACCATTAAAAGCCATTTCAGAGCTATTCCTTTAAGGTTATATAGGACAATGATTCAAATTGTTCAAAACAAAAGTAAAATATTAACATTTAATACTCAAAGTGTTTTTTAACTAGTCCTTTACTTTGCAATGCTATGAAAACAAAATCTCTTAACTCTACTTAAAAATAAAATACTAACAACATGAAGTTATATGAGGCTTTTATACAATCTATTGAAAATGTCATAAACAGATTTAAAATTATGCAAGAGCTACTAGCCCACATGACATTCTAAATTTAATTTATACTAAATAAAAGATGGAATTCAGTTTTTCTGTTATATTAATCACACATATTTCAAGCTCTGGTCAATCCTGTGTGACTAGGACTTCCATCCCTGGCCAGTGCAGACATTCTATCACTGAAGAAAACATCAGAAAGCACTAATGAGAAGCCAGAGGACACACTCTAGCAGGTCATCACATTTAACAGACTGAAGGGCTAGTCTTTTTAGAACCATCGAATCTCTTACAGAACAAAAAGAAAAATCTATGGAATAGACCAATATTTCCACCACAAGTGCACAATTTGAGAGACCCAAAAGACTTAAATGGAAATAGATCTTTCATCCATTTTCTTCTATTATCTTTACAAAAGCAGAGCCAAGTTTACTTTAAGAAACTAAGTATAGCATTAATAACCTTTTTGGTATCTTATCAAGAGATCTTTTTACAAGTTGAAGTTGAAGACAAAGACTCAAGCTTGATACCCACAACATACATGAAATATAATATATGACCACGGTGGTAAAAATTGTAAATAACTTATAATGAAGTAATTCTACCTGCAAACAAACAAAATTTCTGCTAAGAATAAAATCTGTTTTTTATTAGAAAAGTTACCATTAATCTGTTAGAAAGATTTTAAATACTTCCACTGAGGTTTTTATAATAGAAATTTCTATCTGCACCTAAAACACAGGGGAAAAATCATCTTGTTCTTTGTTTTATTTCTTTGTCTGTCCTAACAAAATCAGTCTATGTTCATATGACAAAAGATTTTCATTTCAATGGAAACCAGAGGTAAAATGTGGCAAAACTTTATTTCAATGCAATTTTTATTCAACTTTTCTAGTACCTGTAACTTCTCCAGGTAATTCCTATCTCACTTGTCAATATCCCTCTCTTCTTGGGCTGCTCAGTGCTCTTGATCCTTTCTTTCAGTTCAGCCTCTACTCTGCGCATCCAAATACTCCAAGTTGCAGAAGCTTTATTTCATCTAACTTCTAAAATCAAGTTTCATCTCTAAATATATAAATTATATTTATTGACCAAAGATAATTAGCGTAAGTTCTTAATATACTTCACATTTGTGATTTTTTTATTACTATTAGTCATGCCATTTTCTTTTCAATTTTGATGTTCTTATGCATTGTTCTACTAATGTAGATAATTTGGTAACTTATTTTACAGTATTAGTCTATGTTTGATATAACTCAAACCAATGGTATCAGGTACCGAAGTATTTATCACTGTGTTTTTTCATGACACGTCCACTCACAAGCATGAGTATATTTTATAGAAGCAATTCCCTTATGATTGCCTCTTGTGAATCAGTTATATCTTAACACTTAATAATAAGGCTTCTTTCTGTGACTCAGATGGTGGAGTACTAACCTGGAGCAATAAAGCTGAGGGACAATGCTCAGGCCCTCAATTCAAGACCCAGGACCAGCACAAAAACAAAATAAAAATAAATAAATAAATAAATAAAGCTTCTCTCAAGCTAGTTTGTTATTCATACCAATGTACTTACATATTTTCTAATTGTAATCCTATCTTTAAGTCTCTATGTTTATCTACTTGATGTTTCATAGGGTGGCAGTTTAAGGTCACATAAAAGGGAATTGCTTCATTATGCAATACTATCACCATTCAACTTCGCATATTTAATATACACCATATATCTTTTTATGATATTATGTCTTAACATAAAAACTGATAGAGAGACTTACCAGGGATTTATATTTCTTTTCAAGAAGTCTTAGTACTGTAGTTCTGCTATAATATGCGTGCTAAAATTAAAGATAAATAGTATTTAATGTTCAAACTATGCCACTTAAAAATCTTTTCTGCATCATTCCAATCACATCATAAACACACAAAAACATAAATTTAAATGATTATAACCAACTGCTTGCAGGTTTTTCTATGCACATTGAATTAGGAAGCACAGCAATCATAAAAATGGATCATTTGTTAACAGACCAGTAAAAAAAAAAAATCATAGCAATGGTGTCCAATATCTATGTTAAATTAGCTTAAAATCATCACAAAAATAGCACTGAATTCATGCTATTCAATAAAGGCATATGTCACGGTAGAAAAAAATTACTTAAAAAAAGAATCAGGTGTGCAAGAAACAAAAGATTTAGGTTAATTTAATTAAACTGAGCAAACATTTATCAAACACTGCAATGTAGATTGCGTAAGTATTAAGCCCTAGAAACTGAATTGTAGTCTGACTAATTCAGTATTCATTGTATAGTTTTGATAACAAAAGGCAAAAAAAGATCCTTCAGCTAGATAATACTCAATTCTGTGCTAAATAATACTTGAGTCTGTGTTGGGCAATACATGAATGAGCCATTGCTTTGCATAGTAAGTCTGCATCTCCTCCCTTCTAGGCAACAAATACCTGAAGCCAGAAAGGCAGAATGAGAGAAGCAGAGATGTAAAAGCAGAAGTCAACACAGAGGCAACCACTGTTAGACAGAGCTTTCTACTTTTAACCTTGGTGGAGGAAAGGAAAAGTAGTAAGAGCTCTCTATAACCCCAAGATTGCAAGGGCTCTACGGGAAACTGCTAGATTTAGGCATTGACCACACTCCCCAAAAATGTAGTTTGGAGAGGAGGCAAACTCAGACATTTGACTCCTCTATGCCCAAGAAAAATGATCATAGAGTCCTTATAGCCTACCAAATATATTTTACAATGCTATTGTTTTTCTTTAAACTATAAAATTACATTTTGAAGAGGTCATTCATCTGAAGTAAATTCAAATGAGTTACCATTTAACTATCATTCTGAAGCTGCAACTCACTAGGGGAACAATCTTGGACAGGTTAACTTCTCCATGCTTTAGTTAAAACATCTCAAAAACAAGAGTATTAGCACCACTTACGTCATAAATTTGCGTAGGAATCAAATGAGTTACACATTATTAGAATTTACAGTATCCAGTAATCAAAAATTAGCTCTTCTTTAAAAGGCATTGCAAAAACCATTCAGTTTTTCCTTACCATCCACTTTTTGAACCACACAGCCTTCGTGTCAACTAATGCAAAAAAGTAGATGGGATCCAAAATCTTTTGTGAGACGAGATGGCTTTGATCATGCTTAACTGATAACAGAGACAAAGTACTCTCCACAATTTCTTCCATATACCTTTAAGTTGGGAAAAGAAGTGATTTTTTTTAAAAAATAGGTAATGTACAAAGATCCATATGTGGAATATGGTGATCTACTTTCAACTATGGAAAGGTCAGATGGCATATACTCTTTAGAAATTTCTGTAGATAGGATTCACACTACCTAAAAGCTCGTGCTGGTTTCTGTATCAATCCAAATATAGCTCTCCTTACAAACTACATTAGAAGTTGTAGAGCTGAAAGGAAAAAGTTTAAAGAACACTTAAGGAATTTGTCCAAAGTAGCAAAGACCAATACAAACTCAAGATCAGAACATCCCACTTCTACCTTGTGATATAACATGGTTACCAGTATGGAACCATTCATATAGAATAGTTCAAGAGACGAAAAGCTTTATAAATATATCAATACTTGGTCAATCATGTAAATTAACTAAAACTACTTTTCCTCTCTCTCTCTCTATTTTGAAATGTTGTGTTTTACATTTGCATAAATTAGGAGACTTACTTATCTGGGTGACGAATCCAGAAAGATGGAACCTCCTTCTGATACTCATTTAGAAGACGAACCTATAAATAAGAGTAAACAGTTCTCAAAAAAAATGAGAATTCTTCGATAGACAAGTAACTTAAAACATAACCATCCTCTAACAAATGGATACCTTTTTAAGTAAGCGATTCACATTGGGATTTGTTATGTCCAGACCAGCTGAGAGAATCAGAACATGATGTTCTCTGGAAAGAAAGTGCAACTCCAAATATTTTGCTGAAAAGTAAAAATATAAACCATTATAACTTTTACATATAATGATTTCTGAAAAAAAAATTCTTGGGCAATTTCCTTGAATACACATAAAACAGAAAAATAACTTTAAATTATTTAATAAACATACCTAAACTTATATAAATTTCCTTGGTCATATGAAATGGTGAAAGTGTAAATGTTTGTGCATAGAATTTTAAAATCCGGTCCTGCAGAAATGAGAAAAAGATGTACAACTAAGATTATTATGAGAATGATAATAAATATTTTTCAAATAATGAAACTCAGAAAAGAAACACAAAATACCTATTCAGAAACCTGATTAAGAATGTATCTATAATAATAGATGACTTGGGAGGAAGGGGGAAGGAAAAGGGAAAAGGAAAGGGAGAAAGGAAGATGGAGGGTAAATAATATTGAAATATATTGCAACTATATATACAAACAGCATAAAGAATATCAATAAAAACTGTTATCAACAGGGTTCAAGAAATAAGAGGGAGTTGGGTTAAGGAAGATAAAAGAGGATGGATTTTGTTGAAAAAGATTATTAACAAGTATAAAAATAAAGCAATGAGGGGCTGGGAAGATAGCTCAGCGGTAGAGTTCATGCCTTGCAAGCATGAGGCCCTGGGTTCAATTCCTCAGCACCTCATAAACAGAAAAAGCAGGAAGTGGTGCTGTGGCTCCAGTAGTAGAGCTCTAGCCTTGAGCTGAAGACTTGAGGGACAGCGCCCAGACCCAGAGTTCAGGCCCGATGACCGGCAAAAAAAAAACAAAAAGAAAGAAAGAAAAAAGAAAGCAATGAAACTCTTGAAATTGGATTAGGAGGTGGGAAGAGGTGAGGGAGAATGATGGAACACTGACTGGAATTCATTGTATATATTGTACATGTGGAATGACAATGTGAACTCTCACTTTATACAGCCAAAAATACATGAACTTATAAAAAAAAAAGATCCATAAAAAATGAAGTTGATAAAGGTAGCTTCTGTAATTAGATATTTAGAGAATTCTGATCATCATGCCTATAAAAAAAAAACCTGTTTATATCGCTTAAGATGAAATGTTCACAAGAACTAGTTCCTCAAATGACTAAAGGTATCTTCTACTAACAGCAAGAAATTCATACTGAACATAGTAATGCTTGAGAAAATCTCTTTCACATTTTAGCTACTGTGAGTTTCATTCAGTTTCATCTACTAGTCCTTTAAGACAGGAGATGAAGAAACAATCAAGTACAGTAATTTGGATCAAGCACAAATTTTAAACAAAAGAATGTCTCACTCTCTACCCAAAAATTACTGATTCTATTACTATTTTCTCTCTATCAGAATTGTTTCCAGTTATGAAACTGGTTTTTGCCCCATAATAGTCTTTAATGGCTAAATAACACAGCTTATACTGACCCATTAGGAACATTGGTATGCTCATACAATTACAATTTCAAAAATAAAGGAGATCTACTGAGGTATGATTCTATCTTTGTTAAGTAATGGGGGGGAAAGGAAAGGAAAGTTCATAGTTGCGTATTTTTGTTGGTAAAAAGCCTTGAAATGTTCAAGGTGACCCTAAAATACCTTTTTTCCTCCCAAGGATTTTATGAAAGTCTGTAATACCCTCTGGTGTTGGTAAGTTTGAACTGCATCCAAGTTTATTAAGTAAACAAACACCTTCTTTTCTTTTGATAACAGTAACAAAAAGCGGGTGCTGGTGGCTCATGCCTATAATCCTAGCTACTCAGGAGGTTGAGATATGAGGATCATGATTCAAAAGTAGCCCAGGCAGGAATGTCATGAGACTCTTATCTCCAATTAGCCACCAAAAAAAACAGAAGAGGAGCTGTGGCTCAAGGGGTAGAGTACTAGCCTTGAGTGCAAAAGCTCAGGGACAGGCCCTAAGTTCAAGCCCCATGACCAAAAATAATAACAAAAAATAGCTTCTAAATACTTCTAAATACTTCCATTTACCAGTCTATCATCAGTGACTGTACACTGTGATTTTCAACAGAAGATGTACTGAGATGACTATTTATTTACCATTTGTACCCTCTACCACAATGAAAGTTCTAATTTCCTAAAACCAACGTTTTTTTTTTTCAATTTTATATACAGAATGTTCCAAAAATAAAAACTAGAAATGTACATGCTATAGATTTTTCTAACACATTTATTAAAAAAACAAAAATTATAACTCTTATGCTAATGCCACACATTCTGTACAAAATATCACATCCATTTTAAAATCAAGGTTTTCACCAACACATCAAGATGAAAAAGACTTGTTATAATAAAGACAAGTTTGGATTTAAAATGTGATGCTTATTTACAGACTTTCACTTATAATCCTAGCTACTGAGGAGACTGAGATCAGAGGAACATTGTTCAAAGCCAGCCTGGGCAGGAAAGTCAGTGAAACAATTATCTCTAATTAACCCCTAGAAAATCGGAAATGGTGCTGTGGCTCAAAGTGGTAGAGCACTAGCCTGGAGCCATAAAGCTCAAGGACAGCATCTAGGCTCTGTGTTCCAACTGAGCAACCAACAAAAAGAAAAAAAAATGATGCTCACATATGATCAAGATTTTTTTTGAATTGTGCACTTGTTAAAATGGGTTTACTTTCATTGTATAATAACTATTTATGACCCAGATGCATATCAAGTTTCATAATTATATCTCTACTGATTTCATGATTTTATAATTTCTGGAATTTTCTATATTTGCTTTATGATTCATCACAAAACAGTTTTCCAAACTCTTAGCTTTTACCTTTCTCTCTCTTCTTCTTCTAAGCACTTAAATAATAAAAATAGACACTTAAATCCAGAAGGAACATTATAAAAGCTCTTTGAAATTAATCAAACAATACTGTTCGTTTTCTGTTTTGGTCAGTTGTGGGGCCTGAACACTGGGCCTGGGCACTGTCCCTCAGCTCTTCAGCACAAGGCTAATGCTCTACCACTTGAGCCATAGTGCCACTTCCAGCTTTTTCTGCTTAGGTGCTGAGGACACGAACCCAGGGCCTCATGCATGCGAGACAAGCACTCTACCACTGAGCCACCTTCTCAGACCCATACAATAGTTTTTAAGACTAAATTTTCATATATCATGAACTATTTTAATTTAGTACAAAAGCAGTATTACAAATACTTGAATATTCCTTCACAAGATAAAACAGGACACACAGTATCCATCTATTATTCATCCATGAAGTATGATATTGACCCTACTGCTAATCTAATTATTAAATAGTAAGTTAATTCCTAAAAAGAAAATTCAGTTAATCCAAAAGCTAAAACTGAAAGTATTATGAAGGTACTATGAAGGAAAGCTATCAAATCCTATTTAGTTCTAGAGGGGTGGAGGAACACGAATTATTCTGAATACTTCTGTAAGTCTCTCCTTACACTAAATACAGGATCTGGATCAGAAAGCGACACTGTCAGTTTTTCACAGAGAGTTGTCCAGTTTTCACAGTTCAGGACATCCGATGGAGGAGCGGAGCACAATGCTTGTAAGGCTTCATATCTCACCTACAAGTTTGAAAAGAAGATTTTCTTTAATAATTAGCCACTGGAAGAATTTTATCTATCCAAATACAATACTTAACCAACTATTGAAAGACAGAGACTGAATGGCTTTTAATGAGACATTTATAAACATTAGAATCTATTCACAAAATAACTCTAAAGAACTCATTTAAGTGCAAAACAGATTTAAAAAATAAATCAACTTGCTATTTTGTATAAAGCAAAATTCATACACTAAATGTAACTAATGAGCCAGTGTGTGTGGTTCAAATCTGTAATCTAGCACTCAGAAGACTGAGATAGGAGGATTACAGTTTCAAGCCAACCCAGGAAGATGAATCCTAGAGACCCAAGAGAAAAAAAGCCCAAGTGAAGGTATAGGTCAAGTGGTACAGCACCAGCCTTGAGGAAAAGAAAATCAAGCAAGAACTCAAGGCCTTGAATTCAAGCCCAAGTAAACCGCACGGAATTAAGGAAGGAAGAAATGATTAAGACCATGAAATGCAATGTCACAAGCCCAAGAGAAATAGAAGAAAGGATCCAAAATATACATAATTATGTACATAGATAACAGGATAACATTAATCAAACTAAGGGACTACTTAGGAGAAGGGGAGAAGAAAGGGAAAAAGAGTGAGTAAACTGTGATACATTGTAAGTATGCGTGAAAACAACATAAAGAAACTCACAAGACTAAGACCAAAAAAAAATCTGTAAAATCTTATCATATTTTCTACCTCAGATTTATTTTCAAGTGAAATAAGATATTATAAACTGTAACTTGTAAAAATCTCTTAAACATAAAGAGAAATAATTCTATATAATTTCTTTTTCAAAATCTTTTTTTCCCTAATAAATAAATTACCAGTTTTACAAGGAATGGTTAGGAGGATGTTAGTCAAATATAAAATTTCAGTTACAAGGAAAAAGTTCAAAAGATTTGTTGTGCAACATGGTAATTGTAAATAACAATGCATTATATACTTAAAAATCAATATGTAGAATTTACCTATTCACACCAAAAATGTTAGTGGCTCAATTTAATCACCATTCAATGTATACATTTTTCTTTTTTTTTTTTGGGTCCGGTCATGGGGCCTGAACTCTGGGCCTGGGCGCTGTCCCTCAGCTCTTCAGCTCAAGGCTAGCACTCTACCACTTGAGCCACAGCGCCACTTCCGGCTTTTTTCTTATGTGGTGCTGAGGAATCGAACCCAGGGCCTCGAGCAAGCAAGGCAAGTGCTCTACCACTGAGCCACCTTCCCAGCCCTCAATGTATACATTTTTCAAGGCATGTCATACATGATAAACAGGCAATGTCTATTTTATATTTTTAAACAGATGCTCACATTTTCTAGAAATAGAACAAACAACTAGTGATTTTTTTCCAAGGAATTGTTAAGTAAAATATTACAAACAGTCGGGCCCTGGTGGCTCATGCCTATAATCCTACCTACTCAGGAGTCTAAGATCTGAAGATTACAGTTCGAAGCCAGCCCAGGAAAAAAACTCCCAGTGAGACTCTTATCTCCAGCTAACCACTCAAAAACCAGAAGTGGCACTGTGGCTCAAGTGGTAGAGCACTAGCCTTAAGCACAAAGAGGCTCAGAGACAGCTCCCTGGCCCTGAGTTCAAGGCCCACAATTGACAAAAAAAAAATTTTTTCAAACAGAGAAACAGTAAAGAATAGCTTTGAACTGCACATATTTCATCCCTACAACATGAAAGAAAGGGAAAATAAAAGTTCCTCTAACCATGACAATTCTCTAAAGAAAAGTCTGAGCTTTCATTTCAAGATTGGAAAGTTTACAAGGGATATCAGTGTGGGGATGCACATAACTAGTAAGGTCTAGCTCCAAGACAACAGCTCAGTTGCCACTGGTTGCAGTGTGGTACACTATAAATATATAATGTATCACTAACTAAATGAGACAGCTCTCCTTAAACTTACCTCTTTAGGCTGCCCAGGATCCAATTCATCTAAAATCAGTTGTAATTTTCCTTGACAAAATTTATAACTCTGTAACAATAGACACAACAGACAGCAGTCACTTAGTAAACTTTTTTTTCGGGGGGTGGGAGGGTGGGAAGAGAAGGAGCAGAGGGCAGGGTGGTAAGGATCCTGGAGATTGAACTCAGGATCTGAGCTTTTTGCTCAAAGCTAGCATTCTACCACATGAACCACAGCTCCACTTCTGGCTTTCTGGGAATTCATTGGAGATAAAAGTCTAACAGGCCAGGAGCTGATGGTTCACACCTGTAATCCTAGTTACTCAGGAGGCTGAGATCTGAGGATTGCCCGTCAAAGCCAGCCCTGGCAGGAAAGGCCAAGAGACTCTTATCTCCAATTTACCACCAGAAAACCAGAAGTGGTACTGTCCTCAAGTGGTAGATCACTTGCCTTGAGTTGAAGAGCTGAAGGACTCAGGCCCAGAGTTCAAGCACCATGACTGACAAAAAAAAAAAAAAAAATCACGGACGTTCCTACCCAAGGCTGGTTTTCAACTGCAATCCTCAGATGGCAGCTTCTAGAGTAGTTAGGATGACAGGCATGAGCCACCGGCACCTGGCTCAGTTAGTAGACTTTTAGAAATATTGCTATAATTATTTTGTCAAAATAATTTTAAGGACAGTGTGCACTCTGAACAAGCAGAGACTAATCTATTTTGATATGGTAGCAAAGTTATAATTTTTGTTTCCCAAGACTTTTAAATGAGAACAAAATGTCCCAACGGAACAGCGTACCATCATATATATGAAAATTAGTGTTTGCTGAGCACTTGCAATACGTAGAACACTATAAGTCTCAAGAAAACATAAAACCAAAATATTGCATACCCAGAAATATGAGATAAATGAAACAGAGAGTTAAACAACATAAACAAATAAAAAGAGTCCAAACAATTACAGTTCTGCTTGAATTTTCTTACTACCTACTTCCCTGTACTTTTTCTTAGCCTTTCTCCATAGTTGTCTCTTGCACTGTAGTAAAAACCCATGTCTAAAAAAATGTTCATAGTAGACCCATAAGAAAAATTGGAGAACCGGGTGCCCGTGGCTCATGCCTGTAATCCTAGCTATTCAGGAGGCTGAGATCTGAGGATGGCTGTCCAAAACCAGCCTGGGCAGGAAAGTCCATAAGATTCTTATCTCCAATTAACCACCAGAAAGAAAACTGGAAATAGCGCTATGGCTCAAGTGGTAGAGCACTTGCCTTGAGCTGAAGAGCTGAGGGACAAAGTCCAGGTGGAGTTCAAACCCCATGACTGACAAAAAAAAAAAAAGAAAGAAAGAAATATTTCCCCCACCAAAGGCAATTTAAATATACATAGTATCTGAAGTCCATCATCTAAAAGTAACAAAAATTAAAATATTAATAGCTGAAAATGAATGTTTTAAACAAATTCTATACCGTATCAATTCATACTAACTCTGAAATATGAGAAATCAGATGCTGAATAATTTCATCAAGTGACACAGATATCAGAGCTCCCCTTCCTTCTTTCCCTAAACTCTCCTGAGGTGTTCCCAACCAGTTCTTTGACTTTGAGCTTGTCATGGTGACTCCTAATTCTTAACAGTCACTTGATCTACAGATTACACAAGTAATCTAATATTCATCTAATACTAATCTAAGTTCATCTAATACTTTCATTTGAAGATTTAGTAATCACTTCAAATTTCATACATCCAAAATAGGATTCTTGACTTCATTTTCAATCCTCAATCTGCCCCCTTACTCAGCCTTTTCCATCTTGACAAATAGCCCTACCACCTATCCAGATTTTCACTGAGATCAGTTGAGACTATGCTTTCCCTCATTTTATACAATATTAAATAATACAAAAACAATCCCCAAGTTTCACTCAACAGAAATCCAACTATCAATGCCACTTCCTTCCTTACTACAACACTACCCCAAGGCAGATCTTGTCCCTGAAAAAAAAAAGGGAGCAGGGGAGAAAGTAAGGGTTAGTGTGGTAGTACACACTTGTGGTCCCAGCTACTCCAGAAGCAGAGGTAGGAGAATCAGATGTAGAAAGATCACAGTTTGATGGGGCTGGGAATGTGGCTCAGTGGTAGAGCGCTTGCCTTGCATGCATGAGGCCCTGGGTTCGATTCCTCAGCACCACATAAGCAAAAAGAAAAAAGCCAGAAGTGGCACTGTGGCTCAAGTGGTAGAGCGCTAGCCTTGACCTGAAGAGCTGAGGGACAGCGCCCAGGCCCAGAGTTCAGGCCCCACAACCGGACCCAAAAAAAAAAAAAAAAGATCACAGTTTGAGAATAGTGAGGAAAAACTTTGTGGGAGACCATATCTGTAAAACAAACTGAAAGCAAAAGAACTGGGGTGAGGTTCATGATGTGACAGTCTATCTGCATAACTAGATCAAGGCCCTGAGTTCACCCCCAGTACCAGAAATAATAAGGTTCTTTGTTTGTTTGTGTCTGCCAGTATTAGGTGTTGAACTCAGGGCCTGGGCACTGTGGCTGAGATTTTTTTGCTTTAGGCTAACACTCCACCACTTGAGCCACAGCTCTGCTTCTGGCTTTTTGGTGGCTAATTGGAGATAACTTTCCTGCCATGCCTGCTTTGAACCATAATCCTCAAATCTCAGCCTCCTAGGTAGCTAGAATTACAAGAATGAGCCACCAGCACCCAGCTAAGCAAAAGGTTTTTCACCTAAATCTATCATAAAATTCCTAGATGTTTTAATTATGTTTTCACCCAATGAAAGAACTTTTGTACTTTTCCTCAAAAGTGCTACACTGAGAAATAACAAAATCCGTTAATATTTAAAAATGTTAAAAAAAACTCAAGTATTAGCTAAAAATAATATTACCACTGTTAATCAAAGAAATTAGTTCAGTGTTCTGATGTCAAATTGGCTCCTCAAGAGATTATTATTCAAATAAACAAATATTAAAATTAAAGCAAAATGAGCTCACACCTGCTCCTATCCAAATCTCCAAGCCACCCACTACCTTAGACCTAACTCCAGAAAGAGGAGCGTCAGCTCTATTGTGTTCATCTCTTAAATCCTTATCTTTCACTTCTACATTTTTAAGATTTTAGGCCCCTACATTTTTCTATGTGCAATACAGGTTAGGCTGTAGGTAGTTAGTCCTGTTGTTCTAGCTGATGCTGTTGAGGAAGACACAAAAGTCTTGGAATCAATTAGTACAAAAATCATCACCAAAAAGAATCTGGCACATGGGCTTGGAAGGTGGCTCAGTAGTAGAGCGCTTGCCTTGCATGCATGAGGCCCTGAGTTCGATTCCTCAGCACCACATAAACAAAAAAGAAAAAAATCGGAAGTGGCGCTGTGGCTCAAGGGGTAGAGCGCTAGCCTTGAGCTGAAGAGCTCAGGGACAGTGCCCAGGCCCAGAGTTCAGGCCCCATGACCGGACCAAAAAAAAAAAAAAAAAAAGAATCTGGCACAATTTTGAAGATTTTAGAAGAGGCAAGAAAATAGATTGAGTTCAAGATATTATTACTATTTGAGAAGTAATGGTAAAAATGGAGAAGAGAGAGAGAAAGAAAGAAAGAGAGATACAGACAGACAGAGACAGAGAGAGACAGAAAGAAAGACAGAGAGAGTAGTTGAAAGCATATACTTTGAAGGATGGGAAAACGCCATGTACCCAATGAAGGAATAATGCTATCCTAAAAAATTCTCAGTGGAAGAATAAAAAGCCTAGCAATAAGATAGAGCTTGAGTTGTTCCCAGAAAGATAAGAATCTATTTTCCTGTCTTTTTCATCTAGAGCTTGCCTAACTTCCTTGGCTCTTTGTCAACCTCTAACTTCAAACCAACAGTCACACCACCCCAACCTCCATGTCAGGCTACATAGCCCCTTCTCTAACTCCACTCATATAGTTCTTCTGACAACACTGGGCCCACCCTAATAATTCAGGAGACTCTCCCCATCTGAAGATCCTTAATTACATCACCAAAATTCCATTTGCCATATAAGGTTCCATGTTTACAGGTTCCTCTATAGGGATGTGGATATGGACATGTTGGATGGACCATTACTTATCCTACCACAAGTACTAAAAGATGAGTCCTTTGAAGCAAAGACTGATCCTAAAACAGGTTAACATCATATCAGGGTAAAACATGACAACTATCCTAAACTCAACTTCTCCATATGAAATGACATAAAATAACCTGGGAACTATAAAAACAAAATTTGATGCCTGTGCTATACTACACTAAATACTGAGACAGAAGAGGATGGCAGAAAAACTACAAGAGCTACAATGATATTTGAAATGTTAATGTATATTAGAGGTAATATTCTAACTTCCCCACGGCAAGGTATGTCCCAGCACAGCTCAGTTAAACCGTAGAGAGACAGGTGGTTCACTCCTGTAATCCTGTCTACTCAAAAGGCTGAGATCTGAGTACGAAGCCAGCCTGGGCAGGAAAGTCCATGAGACTTTTACCTCCAGAAAACCAGAAGTGGCGCTGTAGCTCAAGTAGTAGATCGTTAGCCTTGAGCTGAAGAGCTGAGGGACAGTGCTCAGGCCCAGAATTCAAGCCCCACGACTGACAAAAAAAATAAATAAATAAATCAAATAAAACAGCAATATCTAATATGTTAACATTTTATTACTCATAGAAGAATTCAGACATATTTTCAAGTCCAGAGTGAGTAATAATATGAAGGCATCTTTACCAATATGGATAGTTAATGGAATTGTTACTGTGTGCATGCTCAGATTGATTGCCACCCACTACTAACGCCAATGTCAAAAGGTATAACAGTGGGAAATAACTTTATTCCTGCAAGTCAGGTGATCAGAATATGAAAGACATCTTGTTCTAAAGGGCCATCTGGTTCAGAGGCTCATTTAAGGGCAGTTTGTATAGGAAATGAGTGACTGCAAACTGGTGGATATCTTTTCACAAGTAGGTGTGTTTGCGGCCAAATGATGCATATCTGATCCTAACTGCCCAGTCAAGAGTTACTTAACAGTTCTACAAATCTCAACAACAAACACCATTTCCTTGAACTTTTATTGTCACTGAACTTTTATTGTTGCAGTTCTGGATATGCTACACAATGAAAGGACTGAAGGATCTAGCTTCACTCTGACACAATAAAGAAAGCATGCTTCAGCTGACTATATATATATCACATACATATGTATATATGTATGTATATAATCATATATAACGTATTACATTTATTATATAATATATAATGTATTTTTTCATCTTCTTGAGATATAGCAAATGTCATTTAACAAATAATTCTGTAAAATGGTATTTTATGGACCAAATCTTCAATAGTAGGTTATTTTCTTGTTTATATTTTCCTGAAAGTTTAAGTTAGAAAGCAGAAAAACATCTGGCTAATACATAATTTATTAAATCTAGTGATTATTACACACCATTTCACAATATAAATTCAAAACTAAGCAACTCACCTGATTAAATGACGAATCACTATCAGAGCAATTATCTGTACAATAACTATTGTTCTTCTCCTTTTGGACCTTTCTCTGCCTCTCTTGACTCCGTATCTCATCTTCTTCAAATTTATTAATCATAGACTCCACCACTACCATCATAATGTTCTTCAGGGAATACATCATTTCTTTGTATCTTTAAAATTCAAAGTAGAATTAATAAGTGAAAGACAATCAGCAGAAATTAAAAGTCAGCTAAGTTAAATTACCTGATTTTTTTTCTATAACAAATAAAGCCCTTAGGAGCACACAATTGCTCAAGAGAAAAATCCAAAGTTACTATTTCATAAAAACAGAATGATACAATAGAATGAATAAAACGAATAAAAATGAACTAAGATGATAAAATTGACAGAATCTAAAGCAACCTTAAGGTAATTTTAGAATTCGAATTTAGAAATTAGAAATTCTGGATTACAATCCTAACTACAATCTATCAGTAACTAAGGCTTAATTTCTTTAACTATAAAATTACATAAATATAGCTGATAAATCATATGGCAGTAGTTATGAATAAATGAAAGTATCTGAAAAGTCTTTGTAAATATAAAAAACTATATAATCACTGTAGTAATAGGAATGCATCAGGACAAAAACAGAAACATTATTCCTTTCAGCTGATGGGTCATGTTACCTACACAAATCAAGGGCAGTATCTAAGAGCAGTAACATCATACTGAGGAACTTGGATAGAACAGTAGACTGAGATTTTGCAGTGGTGGAACATTTAAGAGGTGAGGCCGAGAGAGAAGTCTTAGGTCCATGGGGGAATTGCCGTATAACACTGTCTTTTAGTCTCTCTCTTTTACTTCTTGTAATAAGGTGAAGGTGTTGTGTCTCAAGCACTCCTTCTGTGATACACTGCCTCACCAACATTCCAAAAGCAGCAAGGCAAGTCCAACCGTGGACTGAAACCTCCAAAACGGTGAGCCAAAGTAACCTTCATACATCATAAGTTGATTACCTCAACTATTAATTATAGGAACAGAAAGCTGACAAGCCCATATTCTAAGGATATAAATTACATAGTTTATATATAAATAATTTATATAAACTCACATTTAATCTGTAACATTTGATATACTTCATATAAAATAGCAAATATACATAATATATGTTTACATCTACATGTATGTACAGTCTAATGTACCAGAAATTACAAGAAAACACAAAAATATTGAAAGATTAAGAAAATATTGAGAACAAAAATATTGAAAAGATAAAGAACAATATAGGAAAGGAGGCAAATAAGGATAGCTGCAATGCAGGAAAGAATCTTCAGAGAAGATCTCAGATTAAAGTGAAGGGAAATAAAAAGCAAGGAAGTGTCCTGAGACATTCATCAGTTATTTGTACATTATGTACATATAAAATAACTGACTGGTGACTCTCGCCTGTAATCCTAGCTACATAGGAGGCTGAGATCTAAGGATCATGGTTCAAAGAAGCCCAGACAGTAAAGTCCATGAGACTCTCACCTCCAATAAACCACTAAAAAAAAACAAAAAACAAAAAAACATAGGTGGCGCTGTGGCTCAAGCGGTACAATGCTAGCCTTGAGCTGAAGAGCAGAGGGACAGAGTCCAGGCCCAGAGTTCAAACCCCAGACCGACCAGAAAAAAAAAAAACTGAGCCAGTAAGCTCCACATCCTCCTGAATGGTAAAGCAGTAAAAACAAAACAATGCACAATAGAGTCATGCTGGCTTTAGTGTCTGTTCACACAGCTGTTTACCCTTCCACAGTTATTGAACTCTAGCTAAATTACTCTCTCAGCATTCTTTGCAGTCACATATGTCACTTACAAATGTAGAAATGTAATAAAGAAGAATAGAAATAAATTTCAGTGATATATTGGAGAAGGTTAAGTTTAAAAATCCATAAAAATTTGAAATTTAGACCTAAATGTTTCTGCTTGGGTGCCAGTGTGAGGGTTAGAACTCAGGGCTTTACAACTGTTTGGCCTGTATGATTGTCAGGCACTCTACCTCTTAAGCTACTTTGGCTTTTTTTATGAACATTTTGGAAGCAGTCTTGGAAACTTCTGCTCAGGCTAGCTTTGAACTGTGATCCTCTGGATCTCAGCCTCCTGAGTAACTAGGATAACAAGTTTAAGCCACTAACATCAGGCCCCAATAGATCCCCCAACAGACTTTTTTTGAAAAGACCAACATGAACTCTTCTGCAAGTGATACCAACAAAAATGTTCACAAGAAAAGTAACTATCTCTAAGTTTAAACTTCAAGTTAAATTTTAAAAGGTAAATGAACTAGAATCCAATAGTTATTGAACAGTTTTTAAATGGAAAGGAATAAAGGATATAACATAAGTACCATTGAGTAGATTCTTTTTCTTCTTTTTTTTTTTAACAGAATGTAGGACCTCATCCTTGCTGGGCAGGCACTCTTGCGGTTGATCCATGCCCCTAGTCTTGTTGCCTAAGTTGCTTTTGAGATGAAGTCCTACATTTTTCTACATAGGCCTGGACCTCAATCCTCTTACAGTTTCCAGATACCTGAAATTATAGGTATATGCCACCACACCCAGCTTTTGTTGTAATTGCTATTGTTGAGATGGCCTCCTTATTTTTTTATTCATTTACCTTCAAATCCTTCCAACCTGTACCTCCCTCAGATGATAAGTATGAGCAGCGATGCCCAGGCCCAGCCCAGAATCCTTTAATGCTGCAAGAGCATTAAAGACTATAGAAAGAAAAACTGCCAGTAAAAACCTGTAAAAATGAAAAATCAACACACTGAGTACATTGGCTCATTTTATATTAAAAAACAAACTATATAATTTCTTCCCTTTGCAAATATCTCTTTAAAAAAACAAAATATTTAATTAGGAAAGCACTTTTATGGTTAGTTGCTACAGTAAAATTGTTATCAACAGCTGTACTGTTGCTATATTAGCCTTATATAATTTCTGAAGAATCACAAAGAAAAAAAATAAGTAAATAATACTCTTTACAATTTAAAATCTTTCATCCACAGTTCATAAAGCAGAATACAAACATCTATTAAGTCATTTAAAATCTTTGTGAAGTAGTGATTACTTACATATGGATGAAATAAAACAGGAAAATCAAATAGCTTAGACATTTTTTTAAGTATTTTCTTAGCCAAGTACCTTAGGCTCAGGCCTTGTAAATCTAGGTACTCAGAAAGCTGAGATCTGAGGATCATGGTTCAAAGCCAGCCCAGACATGAAAGGTTGAGAGACCCTTAACTCCAATAAACCAACAAAAAGACATGACAGAGAAAGGTAGTTTATGCAGAGAGCTGAGGGAAGGTCTCTAAAGAACTGAATGCAGACCCCCAAACAGTAAAGAAGTAAGTCCTGTAAATATTTAGGGAAAGGATATTCTGGGTAGCAGCAGCAACAAGAGTGTAAATTCCCAAAGAAAGATCTCACTTGTTGCTTTAAGAAAGCAAGACAAGTATGGCTGGAGTGCTGTGTGAAGAAAAATATGGTAGGAAATAAGGAAGGAGCAGCAGACTCATGGCAAATCTTGACTCTCAAATTTCACTTTGAGCAATATTGGCAGTCTTTGGAGAGTGTCGCATCAAGAAGTGTTTTGATCTGATTCACAGTTGTAAAGCATCATTTGGCTACTATGAGGGAAACAAGGTTGAGGGTATGGGGTTGGGATAATGTCAAAAAACCCTGTTGATAGAAAACTCATTTTAAAATATTATCCCAGGCATACTCACTCTTTAGATTCTTGAGTTCTTTTAGTAACATACTGGACAACTGTGTCATAGCCAGATTCCACCCCCTGATTGTGATCAGATATGCAACTTTCCATTTCTTCTTCAATCATGGACCCCAAAGTGTTGCATATGTGCTGCCTGAGGTATTTCACAAATTCATAGCTGAAAGAAATATTTTTAAATGAAGTGAATACCATGAGCTCATTTATTAACCATATCTAGAAAATGTTAACATAGGAAGGTTTGATACAATTTGTATCCTACAAAATTAAAAACAGTGAAGAAAGAACTGGGTAGGGAAGGGATGGGTGAGAATTTTAAAAGTGTGTCACTGATCAAGATATATATTATATACATAAATGGCTTTGTTAAGTAGCAAGTCCTTTATCCAACTATTTAAAGACAATAAAAACATATTTTAAAGAAAACATTGCTTACCTTAAAGTAACATCAAATTGATCAGTCAAGCCAAACCATCAAGCTTATATAGGCTTTCTGTTTTATTTTTTATCTAAGTAACTTAGCAAAGATCATCATTTAAAGGTAATCATGAAGAAGAAAAGAAGAACAAGCTAAGAAGCAAATTTCAGAAGCATCCAAAACTTTATTAGGTTAGGGATTTTTTTCCTATTTCTTTGTTATCCTCCTAGATCTTTAAGATATGATGCTGAAAGGTAGGAAAAGTTGCTTTAAAAGATTTTTTTTATAATTACTTAAGTCAACAGCTAACACTAAGCAAAAGGAAAGAAATGTACATATCATCCGATGTGGAAGAAATAGTTGTATTGTCAAAGCTTATAGAATTCACAAACTTTATAGACCAAGATAATGACAATTTGCCTTGTGAAGGTTAAAATGTATTTGTGACTTTAACTAAGTATCACTATCCTACAATACTGTGAAATTTGTAAAATTTTTGTAATCACTTAATCTCAATAATAAATTTTTAAAAACTTAAGTCAAAATAGAATATAGTAATTATGAAAGAATAAATACCAAAAGGTAAGCTACCATCACTGAAATAGTTTCTTAATATTATTGGAAAATGATCACTGCTTAACTTCTACCCAAAAAGTTCTTCTCTATGGTCAAGTGCTGGTGGTTCTTGTGTGTGTTAATTCTATCCACTCAGGAGAATGAGATCTAAGGATCATGGTTTGAAGCCAATCCAGGAAGGAAAATCCATGAAATTCTTATCTCCCATTAACCACCAAAAAGCTAGAGTTGGGGCTCAAGTGGTAGAGCACTAGCGTTGAGCAAAGAAAAACTTAGGAGCAGTGCCCAGGACCAGAGTTCAGTGCTCAGGACCAGAGTTCAAGCACCAGGACTGCCACACACACACACACACACACACACACACACACACACACACACACCGCCAAACACACACACACACACACACACACACACACACACACACACACACACACACACCGCCAAAAAAAGAGTTCTTATTTATGTTTAAGTATCCCACATAATAGAGTACTTTGGACATTATTCTTAGCTTTGCTAAATACTGATATTAAATTAGTTTGTAAATGCAAATCATATAGCAAATCTGAAAAGGCAAATGTCCCACAAAGTAGTTATTTTAGGAAACATAGGTACTAAAAATAAAGGACAATAATTATAGCATGGTTTAGAATGGTTAAAGCTTTAGCATCTTTCAAATGACACACATAAATTAGAATGTATAATTTTTATTTTTTTTATTTTTTTTTTGGGGGGGGGGGGGTCCGGTCGTGGGGCCTGAACTCTGGGCCTGGGCACTGTCCCTCAGCTGTTCAGCTCAAGGCTACCACTCTACCACTTGAGCCACAGCACCACTTCTGGCTTTTTTTTTTAATGCTTATATGGTGCTAGAGGAATCGAACCCAGGGCCTCATGCATGCAAGGCAAGTGCTCTACCACTGAGCCACCTTCAATTTTTTAAATGTTATGTACATTCAAAATGTTCAGTTGAATAAGGTGCTCAAATGTAGGCACTTTAGGAGACATTGATTTAGTTCCTATAACTGTAAGTCCATTATGGTAACTAGTATATAATCTTCAGTGTATGTGTTATGTGCGTGTGTGCATGCACGTGTGTGTGTGTGTGTGTGTGTGTGTGTGTGTGTGTGTGTGTGTGTGCTGTTACTGGGACTTGTGCTCAGGGCATCATGCTCTCACTTGGCTTTTTGCTCATCACTCCTTCAGTTTTGGCTTTTTGCTGATTAACTGAAGATATGAGTCTCTCAGACTTGTCTACACAGCTGACTTTAAGCCCCATCTTAGTTCTCACCTTCCTGATTAGCTAGGATTGTAGGCATGAGCCACCAATGCCTGACTTCATCAGTTTTTGTTAAACAACTAAATGTTCTACAAAGAAAAGCCACTTTAGCCAAGTAACTCAAGAATTTCATCTTTTGCTTTTGTTGAGTGGCATTTGCTACACCACTCAATTCTCTACCTCTGAACACACTGCTGCTTCCGGGAACCCTCCTAGCTGCCTGGCAACTGTGAATGACAGACCTATCATAGACACTCCAAGTCTTCATAATGAAGGAGAAATACCTGACATAAAGCTGTGGGGTTACAGTAGAAGTATAAGCTCAGTATCAAAAAAAGGCCTATCACCATCACCAGCTGGATTATTTACTAACCATGTGACCCTGGGAGAAGTCTTTGGTCCTCATCTATAACTGAGCTATTACCATATGTACTTCCTCCCATTATTTGGAAGAATTAAGAAGGCAATAGACAAAAAACTTAAACTATGCAAGTGTAAACTATACATTAAAGAAGAAATGTTTAGAAAATGCATTCTCCATTCCTATAAAGTTTCAACTACAGATTCAGAGGAGCGATTCCATTAGCTCTTTTGTCTGTCTAAACCTCTCAATAGAACACCAGACCTGTTCATGAAATGCCTAGTGTAAAAACCACATTATATTTCTTCACTATATCTAAGTTGTTCTAACCAAAACGAAATCTGTCATCCTACTCCCCACTCACAAACTACTTTCTCTTCTGATTTATATATTTATGTTAATTATATCATAATTTAAACAGACAGCTGTGCATACAGGCTCAGTTTCATTGTTTTTCTTGTTCTTTTTTTCTTTTTTGCCAGACCTGGGGCTTGAACTCAGGGCCTGAGCACCAACCCTGAGCTTCTTCTGCTCAAGGCTAGCACTCTATCACTTGAGCTACAGCACTACTTCCATCTTTTTCTGTTTATGTGGTACTAAGGAATCGAACCCAGGGCTTCATGCATTCTAGGCAAGCACTCTACCACTAAGCCAAATTCCCAGCCCCAGTCTCAGTTTCAACAGTTTTCTCCATGTCTTATATCCAAATAACAAGTTTTAGAAATCTATAAATGTTTCCTCCACAATTTCTCTTTCCCTTCATATTGCCATCAGACTATTGTTCACACCTTTTTAGCCTATAAACAATAGGCAGCTTAAGTCATTCATAAATTGGGGTGTCAAATTAAAAATCATCTGAAGAAGCGCGTTAATACACAGATTGCTGGGCCCCATTCTCAGAGTTGCTCATTTGGCTGTAAAAGAGTGAGGTCTTCTAATAAGTTCCCAACTGACGCCGGTAATGATACTGATGGTCCCAGAACTATAATTTAAGAACCACTGATCCAGAGAGATTCTTTATTGCAAATAGCTTGTAAATAACCCTAAGGTTCTTGGAACTGCAGTTAGCAAATTACTATTCAAATAAACATTACTGACCCAACACATCAGTGAATAATTTTATGTTCAGTTATATAACATTAAAAATTTTAAATATGCAGGATCATTTTATGATCATTTTATGATCCTGTATATTAATTGCTTTTCTCAATTAACAGACCAAATATTAATTGTAATGATTTAGAATGAACAAGTCTAGTCAGAGTTTCAGTAATCATATGTACCAGTTTTTAATTTCAGTATGTAGTTATTAGCTAATTGAGGTTACACAGATTTTATATTTTCTCAAGGCTTCAGGGTTTTTTATTTATAAAATAGATGAACATCTATATTGGAAATTGTCATAAAGATAGAAACTAATATGTGTTGTTAAATAACACAGGGTTTCACATAAATTTAATGATCAATAAGTGGTAACTATTATTATCATTATTTGTAAACTTAAGACATACTTTGTCTTGAGATTAAAATACCTTATATATCTTATCTTTTCCTGCCAGATTTATATTCCAGTGCTACCCAGACACATGCCCAACACTCCCCCATTTCTGTTTTCAATACCTTTTTTTTTTTTTCGGTGAGTCATGGGGCTTGAACTCTGGGCCTGAGCACTGTCCCTCAGCTCTCCAGATCAAAGCTAGTGCTCTACCTCTTGAGCCACAGTGCCACTTCCTGTTTTGAGTGATTTATTGGCAGGAAGAGTCTCATAGACTTCCCTGCCTGAGCTGGCTTTGAACCGCAATCCTCAAATCTCAGCCTCCTGAGTAGGTAGGATTACGGGAATGAGCCACCAGCGCCAGCTGTTTTTTATACCATTTACAATATTCACCACCTAAATGTTTTACTACCACACTTCCTTCAGTATACTAGCTCCTATAACCTAAAACATAACCATCTGACAAAGCCTTTCCCAGTTACCAAAACCCAGTATTCTTTCTTCTCTAAGCCCCAAAATTACTTTGTCCCTGTTAGCACTTACATTATTCTATCTGTTGTGTATCTTCTGCTTGATTCCCACTCAACTCACAACTTTTTAATTAATACTTGATAACTGTACATATTTGAGAGACATAATCTGATATTTCAATGCAGGATTAAACTATACAATGATCATTGATACAAACCTAGATTTTTTTGTCTTTATATATATGACACCAGTATTCATTCACTTATCTATGTATACCTGCTAAATAGCAGAAACTTTATAAACACTTAGCTTGAAATACACTTGGAAAGGGTTTATCTCTCCACTTGGCCATCAGTGGCTGTCAACTGGACTTGCCTATCCTCTCAAATATGTTAGAGGATAGCTCATTGTTCCCACAATGCTTTTTATTAAGTTTTAAGTAACATGCCAAAACTACCTGCCTATATTTATGGCCTTTTACTTTTCTTACAATCAGAGAAAGAAAATGGGGAAGAAAAGTAAGCTCTTTCCAACCCCCCATCACACTTTTTTGTGTGCCAGTCCTAGGGTTTGAATTCCTGGCATAAGCACTGTCCCTGACATTTTTGCTTATGGCTGGTTTTCTACCACTCAAGCCACAGCTTCACTTCCAACTTTCTGGTGTTTAATTGGAGATTCAATTGTCATAGCTTTCCTGCCTTGACTAGCATTGAGCCATGGTTGTCAGATCTCAGCCTCCTGAGTAGCTAGGATTACAAGTATGAACCACCTGTGCCTAATTCCCATTACATTTTTAATACCAATAGAATTACTTCCTAGAGGACTGATCTTTAATGCTTCCACCTTCTGCACTCCAGACCCTAAATAATGTGCTGAACATCCTCCTTTTCATCCCTTTTATCCTTTCTATAAGTGCAAAACCACACAACCTCACCCAGAAATCACTGCAGCCCTTGCTTGTTTTCCTTACTTCCTCTTTCCTCTGTCACATTCAACCTAAACACTGGAGTTATAATAGTCATCAAAAATCATTGCCACAAGACGTTATGTCGAAAAACGAACTTTACAACATTGGGGGGAGGGAGTAAGGGGAAGTGGTACAGGGTGGGTACAGGGCAGGGTGGGGGGAGAGGGGAAGATGGGAATGGATGGGAAGGGGAAACAAAGGAGGAGGCAACAATGCTTGATAAGAAATGTATTCATTACCTTAATTGTAACCCCTCTGTACGGTATTTTCACAATAAAAAAAATTAAATTAAAAAAATCATTGCCTTCATTCTTTCACTCAGAGCCATCTAACTCACCCAAGGCCAGGCACATAATATTTCAATTAAGTATTTTTTAAACTTAAAACTAATTATTGACCATCTACTGATCTCGCATATTTGGACATGAGAAAAAAAGAAACAAAACAAAAAATATTCATCAAAAAATGTCACTTAAGCCTAAGAAGACAATAATTTGCTAACATAAGACACATGATATTACTATATCTAAGTAGCAGCTCATCCAAAACATATAAAGATGTGCTTGATCTGATCACCTCATCTCTCTATTGCTGAATTTTTCATAATTATATAGGAAATTTTTACCAAACCAAGTAAAAGAATATTCACTTTTGTCAGTCTTTCTTCTTTAGATGTATTACCTAGATTTTTCCAAGAATATTTAATGATTGTTTTTTCATAATGAACTTTTATGCCAAAATATCAACAAGTATAAATTGCAAAGGTCATAAAACATTTAATCAGCAGAAGTTTCAGGACTTCATCCTTTGAGCTGTTTAAAGAATGAAGAAATCATTCATCTATAAAATATCACTACTAATTTTTTTAATATTTTACTAGTTAAAAGTATGAATTGTAATGCTGATTTTGTGAATTCTTTTCTTTTTCAAGAAATAGAAGACTCACATAAATTTTTGATGTTTTTCTCATATCATTTTATATGACAGATACTCAGAATTCTTAAAAATAGTTCTAATTCTTCAGATCACAAGGAGAGGAGGATTGAAGAGGTTGTAGAGGTTCACTTTGGTGGTAAGGGAGTCTGAATTCAAGGTTTTGTACTTGCTAGGCAGGTGCTCTACCACTGGAGATATGCTGCCAGTCTTTTCTGCTCCAGTTATTTTTTAAATAGGTGTCATTTTCCCTGGGTGGCCTGGACTACTTTATGCTTCCCACCACATTTGGGAGAATAAACACACCACTGTGCCTAGTTCTTTTCTATGGAGATACAGTCTGTTGAATTTTTTTTAACCTGGGCTGACCTATACCATGATCTTCCCAGTCTCTGTCTCCCAAGTAGCTAGGATTACAAGGATTTAAGGACTAGTGCCTAGCTTCACAGGGTTTATTCTATGTCAAACGTAAGCTTGTATATTAATAGCATACAAAAGCCCAATCAAGGGAGAGCAACATTGCCAATATTCTGGACCTTCCCCCAGTACTACATTTTCTCCAACTTTACACTATCTGAAATTACATCATTTAAAACACCATCTTGATACCAAAAATGCCAATTGCCTAGATACCTAAGTTTCCCTTATACACTTGTTTAATAAAAATTCTCTTTGTAAAACTAGGACAAAATCAGGTGAATTTAAGGAACCAATGTTCTGATAGTGGAAATGGGAAAACCAATATGTCAGAGTATGAAATACTTCAGAAGTAACACACACCTTAGTGACTCAAGAACGTTAAGTGTTCTACGGAAGGAGAGTCAGTGAAAAAAAAGAGAAATGGAAATAGGAACACCCAGACTAACTGGTCTTTGACTTTGAAGCTTCTATGAGGATGTCAATACATTTTCCTCTTTTCCTTACTTACATATAAGTTTCCTTAAGCCAAGTGTTGGTGGGCCATGCCTGTTATACTAGCTACTCGGGAGGGTAAGATTTGAGGATCCCAGTTCAAAACCAGCCTGGAAAAGTCCATGAGAGTCTTATCTCCAAATAACCATAAAAAAAACTAGAAGTGGAGCTGTGACTCAAAATGGTAGAACATTAGGTTTTACCAAAAGAGCTTAGGGACAGAGCCCAGACCCTGAGTTCAAATACCATGACCAACAATAAAAAAAGAAAAAGAGTTTTCTCCTCTTAAGACAGATCTCAGGCTACTGCCCTAAAATACTATGAATTTTATTGGTTTTACCTTTAAGATGACAACTACTTCCTAAAGTACTCTTAGGATTTTAAACTTTTAAATCTGCAAACAAGTTATAATTTATAATGTGTCTGAATTTTTAAGCAGATAATTATAGCAAAGTATTAATGACTGAACTTGTGTTATTTGTACTTGTATTAATGGCTTAATTTTTATTATATTATACTTTTAAAGAAATCAATAGCTAACCAGCAAAAGATTGTCTCTGGTATCTCTAAAATAAAGAACATTATCATCTGATCATTATTTTTAGTAGAGAACTTAATGAGAAAATTATCCAGAAAATCATGATACTACAAAAGAAAATATAAGTATTAACATAAATATTAAAGAAATTAAATCATGAGGCTGCGGCCAGCCTAAACTACATTAAAAAAAAGTCTCAGAAGGTAGATAATACATACATACATATATACATGAATAAATGTAATCCTAGCACTCAGAGAGTTGAGGCCAGCCTAAACTAAACTCTCAGACCAGAGAAAGAAAAAGGGAGAGAATACATAATAATGAATGAATAAACAGATACAGATACATAAATATAGGTGGAGAGAGAAGTTAGAAGCTGTATTAGAAAGGACTCTTTCACACTTTAAAACTCTCTTAAGACTCATATGAAACCAGTCAATGAGACACTCAAACTCCAAGTAGTGAGACTTTTGCACCAAATTTAAAGAGACTCAAAGATCGTCTAATGTCTGTTTATGATACTAGCAGAAGTTCCAGACAATAACTTAAAGGTAGTCAAGCCAGTAAAAGGTAACATAAAAAGAAAAATTTGAATGTCACTTTCGTGAAAGTGACATTCAAACATGGAAGAGAGTAATACTAATAATAATGATAAGTCTGTAGGCAGAATTTTACATTGACGGCATTATCTGAAATTATCTGAACAAAATCAAAAGAAAAATATAGGACTCTACAGATCATCAAGATGTTTTAGTTTTAGTTTTTAGGTCCTTCCAGTCTGCCTCCAATGTTCCCTTCTCTTCTGCTCCTAGGTGAGGGGTATTCTATCTGGCACTTAATCTTCCTGACAGATTCCACAGGCATCTATATATGTGTAGCTTAAATTACTGTAGAGGAAGTTAATCGCACTCCAGCACAGTATTCCCCGGCAGGGCTGAGTGATGCACAGCTACTGGAGCAGATCAGGAAAGGATCAAGGATCCTGTGGAACACAACTTTTGGGGAGTGTCTGGAACACATTAAGACAAAATCTTTCTTCGAAGAACATGAAGAGGTTACAATTCATGTTACTGTCTTGCCCAGGGAGGGAATTAAAAAACAAAACATGAGCAATGGGATCTGCTGATGGTAATATTAGAAAGAGACAAACGGCAGGAGCTACAGGAAACCAGTGAAAAGGAAATCAGACATGCAGCATGTGGGCAAATAAAAGGGGTGGGGTGGGGGGGCTGAATCTCCACTTAGCTACACTTTAACGACCAAACGAATACTCTTTACCCAACAAGCCACGCGGGAGCCCTTTCTGCATCAATGGTACGTTTGCTGGCTTTAAAACACAATGTTAAGGAACTTAAAAGCAATTTTACTTGTGAAAATTTTCGTCAGTTTTCTCCAGATGTAAGAGAATCTCCTCGGCACACTCCAGGGAGGGTGCCGCCGTGATTTTCTCCTTCAGGCTTTGGAACAACTGTCTGAGCATGGCGGGCAGCAGGCGCTCGTCCTCGTTGGAGGATTGGGCCATCCTGCGCGGGCATCAGGCTCCCACCATTCCGGATCCTAGGGAACGCGGCACGGTGCGCACGCGCGCCGCCACCCAATCCCGGCCTGCGCGCAGCGTCGTTGCCTAGGAGACCGCGTCTAGCGTCCGGAGTGGAGGGGGGAGGGGTGCGTGTGTAAGCCCTGAGCGGCCTGACGATATTTGGAAAGGTAAGACGCGTGACTTCGGGAAGCGGGGCATTTACAGACTCTGCCTTTGATTCTGTATGGTCTTTTTCAGACTTGATACCAACAGGGTTCCTGATGACACGGCGACAAAAGCGTACAGGTCAGCTCTGATAGGAGGGACTGAGGGCGAACGCCAGTGCTGCGTGTGATGTCATCGCGTTGACGCGGGAGGGAGGGGCACCTGGCCGCGTCTCCTTGGGAAAGTTCTTCCTGGATGCTGATGACAGCTAAGTTGTAAGACGGTGAAGTGTTAGTGAACGACAACTGCTAGAAATAAACGGAAAGATTGAGACGTTGCGAGAGAATGATATTGAAATGTTACCTTATTTTTTTTCTTCCAGTAGCTAACTCTTGTTGAGCTCCTACCCCTTCCCAATCCCTAGCTAAGGAGCCATGAAGGTGAGGATGTCTTCATTCTCATATAGAAAATGATTGCGGTTATTATTATTGTTATTATTATACGATCAAGTGATATACTTGAAAGGGAAGTAATATTTTACCTTTTTCTTTTGATGATACAAGAGTTTGAACTCAGTGCTTCATGCTTACTAAGCAGACACTCTACCACTTGAGCCCAAGAATTACTGATTTACAAAAAGTTTTATTGAAAATCCATTACACACAGTATGCATTTAAAAGCAAAATTAGTACAAGTAGCTATTCAGTTTTTGCTTCCTTTTCAGTTTTAATGCCCTGTGATCCAGCAAGCCTACGTTTAGGCATTTATCCAAAAGAATATGTACTAGGATACATGCACCAGCACAACCATATTCATTGCAGCACTATTCACCATAGCCAAGGTATGGAATCAGCCCAGATACCCTTCAATGGATGAATGAATCAAGAAAATATGCTATACAATGGAATTTTGTTGCATCATTTGCATAGAAATGGAAGGACTTGGAAAAAATTCATACTAAGTCAGGCCCAGAAAAGCAATAGATGCAGACTTTCCCTCATATGTGGAAGGTACAATTTATTTATAAACATATAATATAATAATATACAATATTACTTATTGAATATTTATCATAACAAGATAATAATCCAGGACCCTGACCCCTGACCCTGACGCTATTTAGGCCTAGATCAGCTAAGTTACCATTAGGCTGTGCGATTGTGTGCTGTGTCTCCTGTCTCCTGGCTCTCCTCTACTCACCATGGCATCCCACTTCAGCTCTCCATTGGGGTTGATCTGTTTTGTTGGTATTGTTTTTCTGCTCTTTCTTTGCTTTACTACTGTAATGACTCCGTTTTCTAACAGTTTTAAGTGTATTTGAGAGGCTGCAGGTCTTTGTGACATGAGTCCCATCTGCAGTTGCTGGCTTTCTAATAACAACTCCCAATTTGACCTCTACAAAAAAAAAAGATAGTAAACCTGTTGATTTTTTTTTTAATTTTTGATTTCTCATACTTAATATCTCCTAAACAAAACATATGTTGTTTTTTTGGCTTGACTATACCCCTTTGGTATTTTGGGAATCTATTTTCTAGGCAGGTTTTCTCCCACATAGATTTTAAATAACCTTTGGAAATATTTAATAATTTTAATGACAATATTCAAAATATATGCGTGTCTCAGAAGTACCTTTCGCAGGTATTTTTTCTGTATCTTCTAACCATGAAATTTAGCGTAACACATTTTAGAGACAGCAAGGAACTAAAAATCATTCCATTGGAAAAAGTAATCTATGTAATAGATTTTGGTGACTTAAGTTTTTCAGTGTATACAACTGAGTACTTTTTTTTTCCAATACAGTTATAACATTGCTCATATAACCAGTAATGCTCAGCATTATGATAAGCTTTCAAAGTTATAGTAAAATGTCAAAGTACTATTAGACTGCTAACAATAAGTATAGGGTAATTTTTAAAGCCTTTTTTTATTATTTCCCAAAACTTATTTTGCTATTAAGTAAGGTCACTCCGGCAGTATACATTTGTCATAACTAGAAATATTCTATAAGAAACATTTTTACTGGATTACTATGACATAAAAAATTATTTGACCTTTTAGATATGACAGCTTGAACATACACATATTTCTTGCCTATCCCAAAACCACACTCAAATGATAAAGAAATACAAAATATATACACCCACAAGGACAAAGAGAGCATGAGAGAAGATGGAAAAATATTTTAGCTTGTTCAAGTGAGGATATTCCTACTCACATAGAAGCTGATAGTTATAGGAAGAGGTTTTGCAAGTTGTGGTAGAGGATATAGAATCATCTTACTCAAGGAAGTTTATTTTAGGAAGATGTGGTTCATGTAGTTAAAAATTTTTTGATATAGCAAGTTATAGCATACAAGACAGAGCCCAGTGGAGGACTTATGATGTGTGACGTGCATAAGCTTCATTTTCAGTCAAATAAGAAGCTTTGTGTCCTCCATGTCTGTGGGGTTAGCTTCAGGGCTTCTCATAGATACCAAAATCTGAGAAATTGTCCTTACATAAAACGGTATGGCTTTTGGGTCAACTTATACATTTCCACCTATATACTCCTTACTAAAATCAGATATGTTACCTATAATTTCCATCAGGGTTCTTTTTCTTCATGATAGGTTCATCATAACCTCTATAGTTTCTGGCCAAATGTCAGGGAATTACTATAAAAATGAAAGCATTATGACAGGTTTTTATTTTATTCACTTAATCCTATCATTCATGAAAAAAGACAAAATAATATGTGATACTCTCTTGCCCTGTCCACACTGGGACACTATATTTATTTTCTTTGGCCTATAAATGCCTTGGTTTTTTCATGCAAATCTGGATTCCCAGTGAAGGCAAATTAAAAGAGGATTCACTAGCTTGTGTTATGTTGGAAATGACATGATTACTTGCAAAGGAAAACTATGGTCCTAAAGTAGAGCAGAGCAGGAAAGATAAAGATTAATCCAAGCTGGCTTCAAGGAACATTTTGGAGCATTTCTAAAGATGAGTATTTAGGGTGACTGTTATATTACATGGTATAGGATTTTTAGAATAACAAGTGGAAAATACTTAAAGAAATTCATAGAACTATGTTTTTCCACTTCTTCCAAATTTTCTATGGACTATAACATAATAAAACAGACTATTAGACTCTGATTGTTACTATATCACATAATAAACCAGACTATTAAGAAGCAGTTTCTACTTGATAAAAGTACCAAACAGTTCATGAGTAAACATTTATAACCAAAGTTTATTGCCTCACAAATGATGGCAGACTGTGGTATGATAGGTGCTCAGTCATGAATAACTAATATCTATGCTTATTCTGAGCCAAGATTTTTTTTCCTAAGCAGCTGACATGCATTAATTATCTTGAAAGTTCCACCATAACTTTATGAAGTAGAAGTCATTCCAGCCCTATTTTCCAAGGAGGAAACAGATACACTGGTAAATGACACGTTCCGGGGCACAAAATAACAGCAGGCAACACCAGTGTATCTGTATCTGCATTCAAAACCAGGCTGTCTGGTAACCTCTATATATTACAGTTTCTGAAATCAAAGCTTATGTAACATTGTGCTATTGACATTTACTCAAAAGGAAAAGAATAACTGAGTCAGTTACTGGTGATTTATGCCTGTAATCCTAGGTACTCAGGAGGCTGAAATCTGGTGATCGTGATTCAGAGCCAGCCCAGGTAGTAAGGTCCATGAGACTCTTTTTTTTTTTTTTTTTTTTTTTTGGTCCATTGTAGGGCTTGAACTCCAGGCCTGGGTGCTACCCCTCAGCTCTTCAGCTCAAGGCTAGTGTTCTTACGTCTTGAGCCACAGTTCCACTTCCAGTTTTCTGGTGGTTAACTGGAGATAAGAGTCTCACAGGCTTTCCTGCCAGGCCTAGATTTGAACTGTGCTCCTCAGATCTCAGCCTCCTTAAGTAGCTAGGATTACAAGTGTGAGCCACCAGCACCAGGAGACTCTTATCTCTAATAGACTACCAAAAAAAGCTGGAAGTAGAACTGTGGCTCAAGTGGTAGAGCACTAGCCTTGAGCAAAGGAAGCCTAAAGTTAGTACCCAGGCCTTTAGATCAAGCCCAGGACAAGGTATGTGGGGTGCGGGGAGTGGGGGGATTTCTCATTGTGACTATCTAAACAATTCTCACTAATACAGATCATATGCTCTGTCCTGTATAATTATTTATGTTACCCTACCAGCCGTGTATACACTTTGCTCTCTGACTAGAACTGCTGTTCTTATCGATGGCATGACTTACTTGAGAAGAAACTACCACAGCGACTTTCTTATTGCATTTTCCCCTAAAGTATAGAAGAAATTAAATAATGTGTCAGGGTATTTCAGACTTAGATAGAAAAATTTTGAACCAGCCTCAACTGAAGCTTTACCAAGATCAATAAATTTCTCTGCCATTTTTTAAATTACCTAAGCACTTGTGTAAAAATGACTTCATCATAGAACATCAACCTAAGAAGTCCCTTCAAAATATAGATATTAAGGAACTATGTCCAAAAATCTGAAAGCTTTGGTAAAAGTCTAAGTGGTTGTTCTCAAAATTGTCTAGACAAGGCCAATTTCCAGTCTATTCTTTTCTGATGTTTCACAGTTTTCTCCAGATGTGGAACAGAAAATCCCAAACCTTTTCAATATATAGATAAGTTTGTCTACAAAAGCATTTGGTTGGCCCTGAAAATATTTCACGTTTATTTTATGTGATATTTTTTATTCAAAGAGGTAAAGTTCTTCTAGAAGACTTTTAGAAGTTTCTTAAACAAGCTAGCTGCCACACCACATATGTCAGTATGTATGTATACTCATACATACTCAGCTCAGAGAACTTATATTTTTAATTTCTATGAA